CTGTTAAACCATCTTTCCATCTCAGACTGTGCTAAAGCACACCTTGTTATCTGCAGTAGTCTATCCTGGTCAATTTACACATGTCCTGCACACAGCTGCTACTGTATATATGTGTGTTTATAAGTCACACTTCATGTACAGCTGACTATGGGTATGTGTCACTGTAGCAGATGGAATACAGCATGATAACATAGCATACTGTACAAGGCTGGAGTGTAACATTAAGAATCCAGATTGTTCTGAACATACTCTACACAAGACAGCATAGTGCATATTTCTATGACACATATAAAACATCAAGGTCACTGCACAGGATAAACCATAACCTATTGCTACTAAAACCACTTAATAAGATGTGCTACAGCAAAATTTTGAATAGGCACCAAATCTGAGGGTGCCACAGGGTGAATTAATGACAACAGGTGCACCGAGAATGAAAAGTTCCATACTAAGACAAAGTTCTATATCTAACCCTGAGGACAGGCCAGCTGGATCGAGAGGGTACAGTAGCATTTTCATTGTGGAGTTCTTCCAAGTCCAAGATCAAATGAAGAATTAATCAAGACATGTTTGCCCCATATTGTACTACAGAACCTCCTGTGCAATGTAAATCTTGTGTTTTAATCATTTAAAGCCCACTTGAACCTCAGAACTTATTGGTGTAATGCAGTTCGGCTGTATAAGCAGTATTAAATACGATCTTTTATTGTTTATTTATCTCATAAGTGCTGCAGCAATCTGGAGAGTTGGACCACGGCTCTCTCAAACAAAGCAGTGGCCCAGCTCCCCTGAATAATACAACTGTTTAGGTAGTGAGAGCTCTGTTGACTGGTGCTCTGTTTGGGGGCCTGTATGTGAATGCAGTAGAGCCAGGCCACTCCTAAAAATAGAAGACACTTGTAAACCAATTAAAGAAGAACTATGGGGTAAATGTTTTCCCCCATAGTTCTCCTCAGGGTCACAGGAGGACATAAACTAGCGTCCTCCCGTGACCCAAAGCTCAGTATATCAGTATATACTGAGAGCGCCGCACCCTGGACGGATCCCGACATTACTGTCGAGATCCACCCAGCTGCATGATTGACAGCTGGCTCTTCCTATCTAGAGGCAGAGCCAGCTGTACCCGCCCCCTCCCCCGTTAGTTCCTCCAGTCAGCACTGGAGGATCGGAGCGGGGAGGGGGCAATCCCTGCAGGGAGCCGTGAGTGACAGTCACGGCTCTCTGCAGGGACAGGATCAAGAAGTGAGCAAGCGACGGTATGTGTTCGCTCACTTCCCGATCTATTGAGCCGACGTGTGACAGTTTCATTGTCACACGTCGGTTCGAACTATGAGGTTGAGTGAAAATCACTCACCTCATAGTCCCCCTATAAGTTCTAAAAACCATTAGAGCAAATGCTAAATACAAACTAACCTATTCTAATTTTAAAGCTGAACTCTTGAAGCTAAAGCTGAACATTAACTCCCCACCCATCCCTTAACTGCCATGTTACAAAAAATAAAACCTATACTAAAATAGCCTTTTACTTACCTAAATCTGTGGTCATATGACACGCCATGTCTTGTATATTCTTCACTGGAAAGAAGAATTGTCCTTCTTTGGGTGTCCACATCACTGCCTGGGTGATGTGGACACTTTCTATTGGATGCCCAGTGATGGGGTCCTCTCAGCATCCAGAAACCTGCACCATGAAGAGGCGACCAGTCAGTGCAAGCATAGACTGCAGCTCTGGATCACTGATCATCACTTACAGACACAGCACCAGGGAGAGACATGGATGTTGGAGATAGGTAAGTAAATCCAGCGTTAAAAGATGGTGAAAGGATGGGAAGGTGGAGATCTCTACTTAGACATGAGCTTTAAATCAAGCCAGAGGGTTTGTTTCCACCATCACAGTTTTAGAAATGCAAGCATTTAATTTTGAGTTTGCACCAGGATTGCTGCTGTTATTTTATTACCTCACGGGCAGGGCCCTTCTTACCATCTTGTCTTGAATTGTATTGTGATTGCAATATATTCCTTATATTGTTAAGTGCCATGCAAACTATTGGCGCTATATAAATCCTGTATAATAATAATAATACTAGGAGCACGCAGCTGTAAATGCTTCTAGTTCCAAGACGGCCTGTCACTAACAGCTGTTGGGCTACACTAACAATTGGGAACCGATCAGCCTGGTTCTCTATCATGTGATCACCATGATAAGCAATCACAAGCTCAGGCCTAGGGACATTCCAAAAATAAATTTAACGGCAATCTTAGGAATCAAGGAAGGCATAACCTGAACCCTGAATGAAATCGAAGTCACACAGCAGGTAGGCTGTATCTGTTCCTATGGGAATTTTTATGTACAAATAACATGTTTAACTAGAGAGTCATTTATTAAACATCACTGCTATACATTTATTATAAAAATGTACCTGGGAATATTAGATGTAATGCAGAATAATATTTTATTACAAATTCACTTACTTGGTTTTATCCAGATTATCGGCACCAGGTCAAATAAGATTTTGGGGTGTTGTTCTACCAGCACACCACTGTGGAGGTTAATTTATAAAAGAAAGAAAGTCAATGTCAGACAATATTTGCAAATCTGGGAGAAAATAACATGACAAGGTAATAGCATTCAATTGAATTTCATCTTCCAATCTCAAAACTGCACCGATCTACAAAAGTCCTTAAATGGGACAGGTGCATTAGTTTTCATTTTTCAAACTAAGACATTTTAAGCAAATACAGAAAATATCTGTTCATCTTGCAGTGTCCTCATCACTTTCTGTGAGCCAAACGGAATGTTTTCTGTGATTTGTAAAACTACTAATCTCCCCATCCACAATGTAATGGAGATGAAGACCGGAATTGCAGCCTGTGTGACAACCATGGCTCCCTACATACTGTAGATACATTGGAGTGAGCATTGTCACCAAAGGACAGGAAGCGTGTTATTCCCAGGATTACCAAGTGAAAATAAAGTAAACAAACTAATGCAGGTACCTCATCTAAGGATTGGTAATGTACAATATATTTAGGGCCGATTTACATCAGATGTGTTGGGGCTGCGCTGGCCGTGGTTTCCAGCGCAGTCCCAATGCAAGACAAGGCAATTTGGCTTGTCATGGAGGGGATCAGTTCACACCACCTCTTTGTGATGGGAATGTGGTGGTGTGCGCTGAAAAAAGTATGACGTGCTGTACTGTGTTTAGTACAGCGGGATGTGACGCAGTACAGCCACCTCGCACTCCGATGTGCCCATAGAACTGAATGAAATGTCACTTGTGACATTTAAATGAAGTTCTACAAAAAACAAAAAAAAACATAGTATGATGCGCCAGGTGCTGTGCATCTGCACTGTTCCAGGGCAACACACACCAGATGCTGTGCAATTAGCGCAGCATTTGGTGTGAATGGGTCCTAAATGTTTGGTTTTTGGGTCTTGATATGCCTTAAGAGCAATTCTCTAGGATGATCTTCAGCCTCCGAGTAGTAAGACCAGTGTTTCTTAATGTCTGGGGTCTGCACTACTGCTGATAAGTGTCTGCAGTAGGGGTGATGCATGAGGGCCTTTTTCATTAGTGTCACTGGATACATTTTTGTGCATTTATGTCTGTGCTCATGCTTTGTGCAAAGTGATGGATTCTTAAATGCAACCAGTTTAAGTCCCTTAATCTGATTTGCTATCATACTCTTGTAATGGTATATACATCAACACTAAGGGCTGATTTATAAATCTGTCACTACACTAGATGAAGCCGAGGAGCTTAGGAAGTTCTGACATATGACAAGAATATCGAATCACTAACCTCTTCTTGTCCCACCGAGCTCCATCCAAAAATAATCCATTAATATATACACCATCTTCTGGAGAGGTGTCAGAGGTATCTATAGGTAGAACCTGGGGAGGAATATACATTTAGTAAGAATAAATAACAGTCTGAAAATATCACAATATCAGCTAGATGACTATTAAGTCCACTAATTCTGTCAGTGATCTTACTTCCTTTTAGTGGTATTCGTGGTTGAGTGGAATGACTACATGACAGCCAATTTATGTGGTCAATGAGCTAATGTTTTTAAAATTATTTAGACAGCAATTTTTAAAGAAGAATTCTGGGCACAAATTTTATTAACCCTTGCAGTGGGGCTACTCGTTTTTGCCTAGGGTAAATAAAAAAGGAAAAAAATTATCCTTACCTTGTATTGCTGTATATACATTTTGGCTGCATTACAGTGATAAGTCATGATGGCTCAGCTGGGCTTTAATATATCCTGACTAGGGATCGACCAATTATCGGATCCACCGATAATCGGGAACGATATTTATCAGAATTGGTCAAAGTGACTGATATTACCAATAATAAACACTGTGCAAATTTCAGCCGGTTCTTGGAGAACCGGCTGAGATTTGCACAGTGAGTGCCACTCTCTGGCTCTGAGAAGTTCTCTTTCAGGTCCTCCTCTACTGATTGACCGTAGCAATGGGTGGGTGCAATAACCAGCCCACTATTGGTTTTTGCAATTTGAAATAGCCAATATCAGCCTTGCTATTCATTCCCATGCTATTTGTTGTTTTGTTTTTCCTTTACTGTGATGGCAGCCGGCGGCCACTGTCAAAAAAAAATTCAAAAAAATTAGATAGCAGGGGTATCAGCAGATAGCAGGGGAGCCAATGCATCCTCTGTTATCTGATATTTTGTTTTCTTTGTATTCTGACAGCGGCCGATATCAGGCAACTGCCTGCTGTTTACATCCAGCTGTTGGTGCAGCTGGATGTAAACAGAATGTCGGTACCTGATATCAGTTATCGGCCTGAAATGTGGCCAAAAATTGGTATCAGTACCAAAACATCAAAATCAGTCGATCCCTAGTCCTGACTATATTTTTGTCACTGTATTATATCTGATTTTCAATTTATAGACAAGAATCAGTCAGCTGGAGACTAAAAAAACCTCTGTTAATGGTTACCAAAATTTTCTGATCAGTTTATAGTTTGTGTCTCCAGTGTAAAGATGACTATACACATTATATTCTGTATATACCCTGTAAATCAACCCGCAACCATGTGATGTGAGAACCCACCTGATTGGATACAAATTGAATAGATTGTTTAGGAGGGACTTCAGAATACCGAGTTTTGGTAAATCTAAAGGAGATTATACAGAGATTGTGCAATCAAATAGTAACATGTAAGAAAGATTCAATAAAAACTAATGTCTTTGCTTAGTTCTGCACAATTAAAAGGCTCAAAAGATGATGTGGATACAATATAGATTAGCTAGCATTACAGCACACATCTGTGCACCCACCTGAAATTCATACCCCAGAAGATCAATGGGAATTTGGTATTTTCTGGCGTAGTTCTGCATGGCTCCGGTTAAAAACGCTTGTGTGAAGAAGAACCCTGACAGCCAGAACACATGTGGTTTGCCAGAGTCACACCAGTTCTAGGACAAGATCACATATGTCATGATTATTTCCAATGTAAATTGCAATTCATGTAAATGTACAACCAAAAATCCCATTAAATGGGACACAATCATTATAACACCAAATTGGATACATAATTATATTTAATATGCTGTAATACTATAATGCCCTGATGTGTGACTAATGTAAGTATAAAAACTAATCCCCTGGTAAAGTCACAGTAAATTACAGTAAAGTCAATTAGTGGACTTCTAATTACATTCAGCAAACATTCTATTTAAGAGTCCTCTGAGGTTTCCTTATATAATGAATTGCAGCCAGATTCACCATAATTTTCAAAATGCCACTAAGGAGGTACTGCAGTCCTCTGAAATATGGCTGTACTCCAGAGACTTGGAACTTGGAAATACATTGGACTGCATTCTCACAGAATCAGATCTAGGGCCAATAACAAAGTAAGGACACACGCAGTCCTTGGGAGTTAGAAGGTTGGAAGCCAGCTGGACAAAAAACTGGAGACACTTGGCATGTAAGCTGTGTCCTCTAACTGCCTCGAAGAATTGAAGACAGAAGGTCAGAAATGGCAGCCTCTTTTTTTCCCCTCAGTACAAGTTTCCTTAAAATGTGAAATGCTCATATTTGACTGGTGTGTGCCATGAATAAAATCACCGATGTGTTTATACCTGTAAGAACTTCAGCCGGGCCAGGAAATCACTGATGTAACTTCCCAGAGGTTTTAGGCTGGGATAAGAACGCTTGGCCCATGTCTCAGGAATCTTCCCCACAATTAAACTGCTAGACAGGGCCTCCAGTTCTGAATCCATTACCACCAGACCCTTGATGGCCTTCTGTAGATTTTGCAACGTGATCCGGATAGTTCGGATTAAGCTAGAGATATGGAAAGAAGGAAATATGTGTTTGTAAATGGCCTCAAAGAACTCATATGTAAAGGACCGGAAACTTGTGCCATTTTTATGGACAACATAGGACACTTTTGTGAATACGCAGCATAGAAATAAATGGTCTTTATGCATAGAATATATACAACCAGCTCTAAATAATAAATATGTGCTTCAGATAATTATTACAATGTTGTAAATTCCACAATCTTTTTGTGTAATTGTGTTTCATTTACCAAATAAAAAATATCCTTGGAAATGGATCTACCACCTTTAACCAGGAAAAGTATCCATATCAAATGTGCTCCAACTATGTTATCCACCACCACATTCAAGGCTCACTCAACAGATGGGATGGACCTCAAATTAAAAAAGATATGCACATTTCCACCATTATCATCAGATCTCTCATAAGAGTAAAAAAGTATCTGAACAGGAACAGCCAATTATTACACAAAGGATGTCTTTTACATCATTCCAACTCCAGCTCCATAAAGTATCTCAATGTTGGAAGGATATACTTACCTCTCTTTGGGCAGTGAGTCCAAACTCTAAGTCTTCATAATTCATCACTTCCATGAGTGTCAAATATTTGTGCCTTTGCTGCGTGCTATTTGCCAGTTCTACATATCTACAGGACACAACATTGACTAGGGGCTATTTGGAGTAACCATTCAGAACAGCAGGGGACCATATATCCGAGAAGAAGCTCCTACAGTTTGGACTTACTGCCCAAATAATTGTGTATTATTTTTTACACTCCAAAGTAAACCTGGCCATTAAGAAAAAAGGTGGCAGCCATTTCTGACTTCCTCCTTATAATGCTAGTTGTCTCTTATGTATTTCCACTGACTTACTTGAGTATTATCTGAGTAACTGACTCAAGGATACAGATCAGTAAAATCAGATTTCCTAATCTGCATCCTTGTTCCAGGTCAGTGACTGAAACTATCGAAGTAAGAGGGTTAGCATTTTCAGTGGCAGCTTCCACGTGTCTTTAATGACAGTTTTCCTTTAAATAAAACCCTGCAAACTTACCAAACTGACCCATGATACAGACACACATGCTCCACACTCATTTTTTCAGAAATGATAGAAAAGTTCTAGATAACACATTTGACATGAAAATAGTTCTCACTTATTAAACCTCTCCATCTCCTGTACCAGCACAGTGTTCATGCTCTCTTCATATCTCACTGGGAACTTCTGAAGAGCTGCTTCGATGTCAAAATCCTTGGGAAGCTGCAAGAGTAAGTGTCACATTGTTATACCGAGTACTGCTTATCTTTATTAATTTGACACTGCCATTCTATTTAATGACAAAGTCTGCTATGAAATAAAATCAGTAGGTGCATTTTATTTAGTTGCATAACATTTGATTTGAACTCTTACGTTTTGGGAAGTTGTCCTTAAGTTGTCTCAAAGAGTAAATACTTACCTGCAACCCCATTCCTAAGACCTTCACTGTGAGGCCCTACCCAGCAGCATTTTCTTTAGAACAACCACGACTTTATCTAGACCCTTACCCATCCTTTCCCTTAACCCCTCATCTTCCTATCTATTCTTTTTCCAAATATTCTTACAAGTACCTAGAGTGGCCAGTCCACCTCCAAACTTGGAAGTAATAAGACTCAATAGTGGAATCAATGTTGAAGTGACCAATCCCTACTGTGATTATATCTGTGATTTGTCCCCACTGTCATTGCTGTTGGTACATTTTTTTCTTCTTGTTGGATTGATAATTTTTAAAGTTTGTACTTGATCTTCTTTGTTACTCTTAGTTTGTGCTGTTGTGTTACTACTACCTTAAACTAAATAAAAATGTATTGAACAAAAACAATCATGACTTAGCCCTATGCTTGCCATGCATTCTCCTTGTGGACCACAGAAAGTCATCCATAATAATGAACTGGGCTGCAGCACACGTGTGGCATGTCAGGTCATGTCATGGTCAGGCTAATATTGTTTTGAATAGAGGCTGCACAGAGAGAACCCCTGTCATGTGTTTATTGCTGTTTGATTCCCCACTGGTAAGATTTACCATCTGTATTTGTCCTGGTGACCATTGTCACTGGAACAGAGATGGAAATTCAAAAATGTCCAGTTGTTACCAGAACAGGAAGTGGGGGTAATCTTCCTATGGAGACACCTATGCTGATGACACATGTCTAAAGCGATTTCCCCTCACTTTTTGTTCTGTCTTTAGGACCTGAGCACTGTCACATGGAGGAGACTCCACACACTCCTTCATACCTGGAAGTCCTGCTCTGTTAGAACAACAGAGCATGGGGGCAGACAGAATGCGGAGGCAGACAGGACGGGTCCCCATGCATTGCTGGGAGTGGGCTATCAGGAGCCACTGTCACTCTGCCCTAATGAGCAAAATGACTCTTTAAGTTCTGTTCCCTTAAGTTACATGTCTTATTATACTGCTTACCTTGCTGAGTATATCACTGGCTATCTCATATAATGTGTTATCAATGGCCCCAGATGAGCCTCCTTGTCGGCTTCCCCCCTGAGTGAGGAGTAAGGACTCGAAAATAATTTTCGTTTGCTGTAGATCTTTTGATATGTCAACATTTTCATGTAAGCCAAAGACCTCAGGGTGCTGACTGAATGGGAGCCGCTGCCAAATAGAAAGAACAGAACACATAGTATTAGAGTACAAGAAGCAATGGTATCCATTTGGCCATTCCTATCATAATTGTATTCCAAAGATAAAAAGGCACCTGTAGTGCTTGAGAAATATGCTGCCAAGGAGAAGGCTATGGGAGGTATGTGAAAGCTTGACGGTGTTTTGGAAGGGCGTTCAAAAAGCGAACCAGCAGTCAGGTTATTTACATTCAAGTTTTTATGTATTTTTAAGAAGTAATAAATGAACTTTAAGACAAGTCATCTTTGACCTTGTAGCTGCAGGCACTGTGGAGCTATTCATCCTCAAAATTCACAACAGAAGCATTTAATTAATTTGCGTCATTCTTTCAGCAGCTCAGCTTCACCTGGTTTCCTCTCTCAGAGCTCCTGTCTTGAGTTTTCATTATATGTTATAATACTGGAAGGCTATTGGAAGGGGGAGGCAGGATGAGCTGAGCTGCTGAGTCATTCCTGGGAGGGGGAAGCAGGATGAATTGAGTTGCTGAGTCACTTCTGGGAGGGGAAGCAGGGTGAGTTGAGCTGCTGAGAGAAGGACTTCATTGCTTCTGCTGTAAACATTATTGGTGTTCAGTCAGTCATCCCAAAACAAATATTTCCGTTTCTGGCAGATGTTGGAAAGTTAAATTAGTACATTTACATGACCAGAAATTACCTTTATTATGACTCACCTTGATGAATTCTATGTAATCCTCATAAGTGCCTTTAGGTGGCGCTAGGTAGTCTCCACTTGGAGAAAAGGAATGACGGGGATTCTCCACTATATCATTGTTATAGAAATCTGCTAGAGTGGTTAGTAGGAGACGCCGGTCCCAGTCATCTGTCACACGCCCTCCATAGTTACATTCTCCAGTTAGATATGAGATTGCTTCAAAGGGGACATGGTCATAGTCATTGACAAACAGCTGAAATTCAGAAGCATATCATATTTTTAAAAATCAGCAATACTGAGGAGTCATCAACTAACCTACCACCGCCATAAGAAAACCAAGTTCATAAAAAGAAATGATGGAGGAGGAGCTAAGGTTCGTGGACACGATACATTGCATTGATCAGGTATGTGCTACTCCCTAGAGCAGGGGTCCTCAAACTACGGCCCGTGGGCCACATCCGGCCTGCCAGGGTCCTTGGCCCGTCCCGTTCGTGTGTCAAGGCCGGGGAGCTGCAGGCCCCCCTACCTTTACTACCTCCCGGCCGGCCGTTGTAGTTGTAAGAATGCGAAAGTGATGTATATTACATCACTTCCGCATTCTTGTGTCACTCTCCAGCTTCAGACGCTGGAGAGAAGCTGATGGAGCAGATCTGTGCTTCATCAGCTTCTTCTGGGGTCCAAGGTGACATTAGGGGTCTTGGAGACCCCTGATGTCTCCATAAAGAGGACCTGTCACATCTTTTGCTATAACATAGGGGGGTTTCTTAGCCCCCTATGTAATAGCAATAATGTTAAGTGGGAAAAAAATAGGAAACAAAATTAAAGAGTACATTTTTTTTAAAGTTAAACAAAAAAAGAATGAAATTTTATTTTTATTTTTTTAAAGTCCCCACCCATACATACACGCATGTAAACATGCGTCGGGTGCGCATACCTGCGAAAACGACAATTGCGCCCATAACGCCGCACGTTACATATCGCCGCGAACGTCGCAGTGTTAGCAATAATTCTAGGGCCATCAATCACTGATAACACTAAACTGATGAGCTGTAAAAGTTTTTAAAGCGTCGCCTATGGTCAATTTTGGGTATGGTGTATTTTTGCGAGTACGCGCAATTTTTAAGCTTTACATGTTTGGTGTCTATTTACCCGACGTGACCCTGTCTTTTATATTTTACCAAAAAATTGGGTGATAATAAATGTTTTCTAACATAATGTAAAAAAAAACTTTTTGTTTTGAAAATGTTCTGTAATTTTGCCCTTAATATAGTAAAAAATTAAAACCGCAGTGGTGATTAAACACCACCAAAATAAAGCTCCATCTGTCCCCAAAAAAATGGTATAAAATTAATTTCAGTACAGCGTTGCATGACGGAATAAATGTCAGTCAAAGTACCGCAGCACTGAATACTGAAAAATGGCCTGGCCAGAAAGGGGGTCTAAACACCTGGTCTTCAAGCAGTTAAAATAGGCCCAGCCGCCCTAAACAACATATAGCAATCAATCAGCCGCCGGACACCTGGCGGGGTCCAGGGAGAGATCGTCATTCCGCCGGCCCCGCCTGGGTGTCAGGGAAGACACACAGGCTGTTCCGGAAGCTTGGCAGCTTCTGTGTTCGGCCTGCGTAGCTGCGCCCTCTCATCACAGGGCGCATGCCGAGGCAAACAAAATGTCTTGGTTCCTTTAGCAGCGTAACACCAGTGCGGCTGCGCCCCTCCAACTTTGGGTGCACGCCAGCACAGGCTCTTGTAGGGCGGCCAATAAGAAGAGAACTGGGATATGAAGTGATATCATCTCCCTGCCTCTCCCAAAGCTGCACGCCGCTGTAGAGAGGTAAGACAGGGCAGTCTACATGCCCATTCATTGTAATAAATAACAAATACTTGAGCTGTAGAAAATAATAACAAATCATGCTAGTACATGTTCCAGGCTAAGAGAAATGAATTGTATTAAAAAATGTTTTGTTTATTAAAGAAGTTTTTAAAAATATTCATATATACCCTCTAAGTAAGGGCTTATTCCCACCAGAGCAGCAGCTGCTGGAACGCACAGCAATTGTTTACTAACGTTCCCCCTTTGTTCTGGGACTATGATCCGGCCCCCAGCAATGTCTGAGGGACAGTGAACTGGCCCCATGTTTAAAAAGTTTGAGGACCCCTGCCCTAGAGCCTTGACTTGAGGTTCCTACCTTCTTTCATGGCAGGAGTACAATATAAATATAAAAAATCATTTTTTTGTAAATAATCTTATCATCAGTGTGAGTAAATGTTTTAAAAACCTTTTTTTTTGTATAGTTTACAATCAGATTTTGATATGGGTGTCAGGGTCAATGTGTGTTGTAGCACTGGAACTTATGGGAGCAGGTGTTCTATGGTGGCTCAACTCATGGGGGGTCCCCTCATTTCAGAAGCCAGTTGTGTAGATGGGCCAGTCTCAAGACTTCTGGTTATTTGCAATCCTAAGTTGATTGGTATAAGTGTACACAAATGCATCCAATGCATTTTGATGTTCTCATCCTTCTTACACATTTAATGCTAATAAGCAACAAGGCTCTCATTGTACAGTGCTCCTGACTCGCCTTCACATATGTACATAGTGGTAGCCTCACATGCCCATTACATACACAGACTTGTATTATTGATTTGCAGTGCTACACAATGGTTTGGCTTTACTAATTCTTCTCATGTTGGAAATCTTGGTGTTAGCCCAACCACTAAAAACAATGCACTCCTTATGTGGCTGATATCTTATCTCAACAGTTGGTAAAGTGTTTGGAGAAGTTACACAACCAATTGCTAAAATGTCTTTCTGGCTTCACTCACACATGTGCTCCATGGTATCCTATGGAGAGTTTGTACCCTGTGCTCTGGTGGAGTATGAGAGATAGGAAAGTAGAAAGGCTGAGCCACTGTAGGTGTTGATATACTGCCACTCACAATTCTCTTCATTTTATACAGTAGCGAAAATTAAAGCACAAGCATGTAAAAAAAAGTCACATTAATAGGGCAGCACATTGGCTTAGTGGTTAGCGCTTCTGCCTTGCAACACTGGGGTGCCCAGTTTGAGTCCTGCTTAGGACACTATCTGCATGGAATCTGCATGATCTCACTATGCTTGCATTGGTATCCTCCCACCCTGCAAGGCATGCTGGTAGATTAACTGTCTCTGTCTAAATCGGCTCTAGTATGTGTGTGCTTGTACGTATGCAAGTGAGATAGAGACCTTAGATTGTAAACTGCTAAGCAGGGAATGATGTGAATGTGCAGTATGTAAAGCACTCGGTATATTGTTGGTGCTACATAAATACCGGAAATAAACAAAGATGTATTTTAGGATAAACACCACTATATTCTCCCTTTTAAGTTCAGCGTGTGTGGAGCCGTGAACAGGGCCAACCAATCGGAAGCCGATTAATCGATTATTGAAAAAGTTGACAACTTTTTCAATAATCGATTATAATCGATTATGTCGATTAGTTGTTGCAGCCCTACATAAATATCAATCCACCTTATTTTCTGTTCCTATATTCAATGGTTTCTGCTGATTTTCTTTTGAATGCCCTCAAAGGCTGGTCATTGTTGGGCATGACATGCTAGTTAATACTAATGGACATCAAACGTGTGGTCATTGCTGGATTTATAGCAAGTATAATATGTTAATATGATATTGCCTGCTATTTCAGTCTTAAATGAATGAGTTATATAAAATAACCTGTAACTGACGAATGCTTATTCGCAAATCAGATTCATTGAAGCCATATGGAATGTTCCATCCAAGAGGACCAAACTTCTTCCTTTCCTGGACCAGAGCATGGAAGAAACACACCCCAAACAGCAGCTTCTCCCATATCTGAAGGCAAAGAACATTGGATTAAATACAGACATACATAGCCTTTAACGTTATAAATTGGGTGTTAAAGGAGAACTATGAGGTGAGTGATTTCCACTCAGCCTCATAGTTAGAGCCGACCTGTGACAAAGAAGCTGTCACAGGTCGGCTCTATCGATCAGGAAGTGAACAGAAACATGCATGATCTGCTCACTTCCCGCTCCTCTCCCTGCAGTGAGCAGTGACTGTCAGTCACAACTGCCCACACGGATTCCCCCCTCCCCTCTCTGATCCTCTAGTGCTGAGTGGAGGAACAGACGGGGGAGGGGCGGGCAAAGCTGGCTGTGCCTCTAGATCGGCAGAGCCAGCTGTCACTCACGCAGCTGGGTGGATCTCGATAGTAATGTCGGAATCCGTCCTGGCTGCGGCGCTCTCAGTATACTGCGGGCTGTAGCTGGCGATATACTGAGCTTTAGGTCACGGGAGGAGGTTAGTATATGTCCTCCCATGACCCTAAGGAGAACTATGGGGAAAAACGCTTACCCCATAGTTCTCTTTTAACTTAGTTATTTAGTACAAATCTCACCTGTTCTTTCCCTGGGCAGCCACTGAAGAACTCAGTGTCAGAGATGGGGTCAGTGAGGTATGATTGTAATAGATTAAGCCTTAGTCCTGTTGGTGGTTCATTGGTCATCTTAACTCCGTTCTGAAGAATGGTGACGGGAAACTGAGGATACAATTGAAGCAATGGTACAGGTCAGTGACAAGTCAAACAAAGAGTGGACTACATGGGCTGTAAAAATAAATTAATATATTGTGGAACACCATTGGCACTGCTGTATGGCACTAGAACATAAGACACTTCTAATAAAATAATAAGACCTTATCTGAGACGCTGGATCACCTTTATTTGTTCCAAGTCTTATATTACCACAAGTTTATGCTGGCCAGCAGCATTAGCGGTTGAGCCTTGGTCTCTCACATTGACCAAGTGGTCGATTGGGAGCTGGCGGGATAGGCCCCCAATCATGTGATTGCTGTGAGAGCCAATCACAGTAGTCACATGAACTGGACTCTTGGCGTTAAGTTAGAGGTCAGTGGAAGGTGGCAGCAGGGGGGTAAAATTTAAACATTGTATTGCTTTCCTTCAATTGTTTAAATTCATTTATATTGTATAGAGTATAGTTTATCACTGATCAGGTTACCTTTGGTGATGGATAACTAGTTAACCAGAGTCTAAAGTCTGGGTGACATGTGTCACTAGTAAACTCCTCACAGATTTTCTCCAGCGTTGGCATCCAGGACACAGCCAGGTGGCAGTTCTGTAGACAGACCCAAGTTCCATTTGCTGCTCCCTCTTTTATCATTTTTGCAGCCACAGGCCCCTGTCCTTGTCCAAGAGAGATGGCCTGGAATTTTTCACCACCCCCCATGTTCTTGTCATTGGAAAATTTCAATAAGCCTAAAACAAGACAATAAATTGAGTCACAGTATACATAAGGCATGATGTACATAGATAGGAACTCATGTATTAAATTAGAGAAAAGTAAATAAGTTGGTATTTTCCATAGAACCCAACAGCTTCTCTCTTTCTCCAGCTGAAAGCTAATTGGTTGTTATAAGTATCAAAGACCTCACCATTTCTCTCCAGTTATTATACACGTGGCCGCAAATTAGCCGACTCCATAGTTCACCATACAGATTACCATACATCTTTAGATCTAACCCTGGGAACGGGTTCGTTATAAGTTTTGCCCTTACCTGTTTAGGCTCAATGCAATACCAGAGCTGACCATTAATATTTACTTTTAGGGACTAAAAGTAAGCGACCGATGCGGTCGCTATGGGGCCCGCGGCACTGGGGGTTCCCCGCCTGCTGCTCGATCATCGTGATCGAGCGGCAGGGGGGAAGAAGAGCGGAGCCCCTGTCCTCCTGTCAGTTTAGGATGACAGTTGCTGTTTGCATGGCCGAGCGGAGGATCGGTACGTATCATTGATATTTACCGATCCTCCGTGTGTAGCGCAAACACTGGAGCGATCGTCTGATCACTCCAGTGTTTGTAAATAACTGGGGACACATTGTACTATGTGTCCCCAGTTATGAATGAACAGGAGGTGATTTACATCACCTCCTGTTCATTCATGAATTTCTCAATGGGGAGAAGCACTCAGTACAGAGGCTTTTCCCCATTGAGAATCTGCTTGATAGTAAGTTCAGAAGTTTGTGAACGAATTGGAAGCCTCTGTACTGAGCGCTTCCCATTCACTGAGTGCTGAGGCTGCAGAAAAAGACATTGAGGACTCTGTGTCCTCCATATCTTTTTCTATTTCAAAAGGGAAATGTCAGGGGTCTGTTTAGTGTAAAAAAACATTAATTTAACTGTGGCAGCGCATGGCAAAGCTTTGTGATGCATTGCCGTGCGTTGCGATACCTTGTGTTGTAATTAAATATACGCCTGTATCATTTTATCACAACACAAACACCAACACAGCGCAAAAACCATTTATAACATAAATCGCTTATTTACAGTTTAGCGTTCCTTCATTTTTTTTTTATAATCCCCCTTTCCTCAGTCTCCCATTCACACCAGAGCGGAAGCGTTTTACCGTGGTTTCCGCACGATTTTTGAAAGAGCATTTTTTGGCTGTTTTTGTGGGGGGGGCCTTACAAAATTTTGTTATGAGGCCCTTGGATTTCTATTTGTTGTTGGCAGTTGCATCTGGCAAAACAGATGGTCTACCTTACTTCATGACAGCAATTTACAAAGCAGATTAGGCAGTTTAAGACTCAATCTTCCAATAATCATGACATGTCAACTTTCCTACCTGATTGTAATTTCTTCATATAACTGAAAGGAGAAAAAGTCTGGTCGTACAACTATTGTATCTGCCTAGTGCACACAGTCATCAGAAACTTCCACAAGATGCTCTAAACTGGCTTGCATACGTAATCAATGAGAAATACTTATTAAGCTTACATTCTTTTCTTAGTGATACTTACTTGCCATTGGATCAGCTCCAGGTGACAAGACAAAGATGAGGGGGATTGTAGAATTGGAATCCAAATAACTTTTTGATAAATCAAATGGAGGTGGCTCAACAAACTTCTTCCCCAATTTATCAGTCACATAATTGGTCACAGCTGGGGTGATCTAAATGGGGGATCAACTGAGTTACATTAGTTTTTTTACATAGAACTGAAATCTATATAATCTTAGTCACAGCCCCAGAGATGCTACAAGTAAGCTGATCTCAGCTAATAAATACTGGATCAACCAACACAGCTCTCTACCTTTCGTAATGCAATGAGGACTATTGGGTGATTTATGGATCTGACAATACTGGGTCAATGGCAACAAAAGCAATATCTTATATTTTCCATTAAGTGATGGTTTTATTATGTAATTTTATGTGGGGATAAAATTCCTGTGCAGGGACTATGGAATAGATGTATTATAGCAATCCTTTCAGGGTGTGGAAAATGTTCCTGCAGCAACATCCTGTAAAAGGAGACGGTTTATAATTACCAACCGACAATTCCAGATGTGTCAGACAGAATGCCTTCATTGGCTGCTGTGGCTCCACCCACCAAGCCTATGTCACTACTGTGTCTTGTAGTGAAATGGGATCATCAGGAGGAACTGGCCAACAGGGGGTTCACCCAAAAGTGTTGGATAGAAGCCCAGGGCTCTTCAAGAGAGCAAAGATTCAACTCACCGCCCACCGAAGAGGTAAGTATAAACCTTCTTAGCTTAGTTATGGGTATTACTGTTTCCACTACTAAGTCACTTATAATCAAAATGCAGGGAAGAGAAATCAATTTCCTTGAAATTATCTTATTAATGTTGGGGGGCTGTGAGTCATCGTTTTAGACTCCCCAAATTTCTTCCACGGCTCGCTTTACTTTGTGTAATGTACAGACATATCAAGACGTGTACTGTATAACAACAAACCTTGTTTATTCCTAAAAGGGTCAGTCCACTCAAAACTGCATCTTGACAGTGACGTGTTTCTGGCTTACTCAGCCTTAGCTTTGCCTAAGGCCATGTAAGGCAGAAATGTGTCAAAGGCTGGTTTTTGTACAGATGCATGTGGAATAAAATTTGATTCTCTTTGGAAGAGCATTGTGTGCAAGTTTTGCAGTTTTTAAGATAATTACTGCAGAAGAGGGTTATCCGTGCAGCAAATGTGAATTACAAGGATGCATGACAGGGGTGAGCTGTGTGTTTTTTGTTTTTTGTTTCAATACGTGTCTTCTGTTTCCTCCATTCCCAACTCCTCCCAAACCTTACTAAAGATTATATTAAATAAAAAAAACATTCTGCTGCTCTTGTATGGACTAGCATATATTAAGCACCTGGCAGCGAGAAATTCAAAATACAGTAATGGTTTTTGCCCATTAACACACCAGGCCCACATCTTTCTCACCTTGTCTGGTCTCAGGCATCGTAGAATGATCATTTTCTGGAGCTCGTTCAGTTTTTCATTGAATGGGTTGGGTAAAGGAACATTGTGTGGCTCCCTGCTGTCATATATTGTGTGCCATGCATTGGGATTTTCTATGAAGTGTTCCCTGGTTGCACAAAAATACAAATATTTATATTGATACTTAGGACCTTTTCAAAGATGTCTAAGTATTGCTTCTAGGAGGTGCAATCCACTTGCTAGACACGTACTGGCTGTTAACAATTAGAAGATGTGCAATATGGACCACATTACTGGCCTTCCCTCTAAAAAAGCTATTAAATCTGTAATGACAGGTACTCTGACCACTGGCAGCTCCCAATGCAAACTAAAACTTTCTAACCTACAGATGCTTGGGCATCCTATGTACACCCATCTTACCTACTGGGACCATATTTCCTGTAATGCACTTGTGCATTGCTTCCTATGAAATCATATTTAGAGTTGGCAGCACCAAGTTACAACATTTACAAACAGTGGATAATTTGTCTCAGATTTTTTTACCCTTTTCTGGCTACATCTGGGAATTTCAGGTTCACATTATTGTCAATTCACTAAGCTGTCTGAGCTCATTTAACTGTGTTCATTACTTCATTTATTAATTATTTTTTCATTCAAATGTTCAATTCACAATATAAATAAAATCTGTGTACCTAATAAAGCAAAAATTAGTTGAGCCGTATATAACCTCAAAAATCACTATCAAATCTAAGTCATTAAAACAATGCATAGCTCAATGCGCAGCAAAGACGAAACAACTACTGTAAACAGTAGGGTCCATATATCCTTGTTTTGTTCAAAAAAATGTTACCTTAAACCTTTGAAGGAATGTAAATCGCTAGTGCGGCAAATCTCATCCCAGCTTTTATCAGGAAGCCAAGATGGTGCTGGGTTGGCCACATTATTCTGCAGGCCCACTCCTCCAGTCATTAAGAACATAAATTCCAGATACCCAATCTCCTTCTTTGCCCTAAAAGCAGAATAAATGAAAATTCAGTGATATATGCCCAGTATACTGCGGGTTATAAGAGATGCTGGTACTCTGAGTAGGCTGGACTTACATGAGAAGATTGCAGCAAAGCAAGAAGGAAAACAGGAGTTTGTCCTTCTCAAAGAGGGAGCGGCACACGTTGCAGTATAAATTGTAGGTAAAGTGATCATTCAGGTAACGAAGACGTTTTTCCAAGATTTTGGATTTGTTGCTGAAAGAGATAATCAGGTGACATAAAAAGCGTAAATCCTAGAAAAAGTATGCTGTGTTCAGTTTAACAGAAATACATAGGGGTGTATTTATAAAAAAAATAAAGAGCCATCTGTCCTGCAAAACACTATATTGCATTTGACTATTTTAATAATTACAACTTGCAGCTAACAGGTGGAGCTATGTGTCCCATACTTAGGCTGGAGTCCCAGAGACCTGAAAGAGTTAGAGGAGGGAAACTCCACACCCCTCTGCTAGTAAAAACAGCAAAGTCTTAACTAATGGATTAACACAGTCTGCCAAAGCGTATAAAGGCAGTGATATGCCAAGTATGCTTTGCAAACATAGTCTCATGTATTCACTCCATTGAAAAATAGTTATTGCTAGAATTACAACTTTATACAAAGAATAAAAAACATCATAAAAGCCCAATTCCTTGTATAACATAAGGTTCAAGACAGCATATTTTCTTCAAAAAGTAATTTTAAAATTAAAAGATAAATATGCTTTAAGTGGTAATAACCCTAGAACATGTCTCACCTGTCCTGAATGGAGTTTATGTAGAGGTTGACAAACCAGTTGAGGGCATACTGATACATTGGGTCAATGTTAGCCAGGTCAGCAATACTGAAGAAGAGGACAGATGAGTGCTTAGCGATGGGCCTGTAGCCTTCTCGAGACTCTGCTATCTTAAGTTCGGTTTTCTCTGCAATCTATAGAAATATGGAACAGACAATAACATAATATAAACTAAATTAATTACATGGTTATACCATACAGCACATAGATATTTAAAGAAAAACAGTAGTGAGAGAAACACATATGATCCCATTGCTGACCTGCATGTAAAAATAATAATTGTCTGGTTATATATGGCTTCCAAACTTTTGTCAATGACCCAATACAGTCATGTAGTATGTGAAGTCAGTGCCTCTGATCTCTGATCTATACACTTGTTCCGGTTCCTGAAGCCAGAGGATTAGAATGATAACCAGGCAACTCTTATTTTCAGAGCTAATGCTCCTACTACTACAGTTTTCCTTTAATTATTGCTAACCTGTTGCTTTTTGGTAATCTCATTGGACATGATCTTGGCAGAGTCTAAGATCTGGATGGCACTCTCATCTTCCAAGATGTTTCCCTCTGAGGACTGCAAGGTCTCCAATATTTTGTCTTCAATCTCCTTTAGCTGTTTTTTATTAGCAGCCGACTGTAATATCAATGCATTCCTCTCTTCTTCAAGCTCTGGTCTATAATGAAAGAATAAATAAAACCATTGCAGTGCAACTCCAAGCTCCTAAAACCATTGTTGAGGCCTGTGTTGAAAGGCTTTTGTTCATGTGGGCATCGCTTCTCTCCTTGTATAAGTCAATGAGAACAATGCAGCTTAGAAGAAGGTCAACTGCTGGTCAGCAGGAGGTCAACTGCTGCAGTCAATGAACTATAAATAGTCTCAGAACTTCTCAAACTGATATGAAATGTATGCAAAATACACCAGACAGCAAGCTGCATTTTCCCCACTAATGCAAGCCCTTAGTTTTATTTGTCACCCTCTTCCCTATCCTGGTGCTGGGACAGCCCCTGCTCCTTTTTACAGCTAGTTATATATGCAAGAACGTTTTGGGGTTCAGCACAACACTGCTTCAGCTCTGTCAAGCAGTGTCAAAATTCTTACTTCTCGCTACTTAATCACAGTTTTTGCAACAAAAAAATATTTTAACAAACAGAACATTCAAAATCTATCTATTTAACAGTACCAACCTCTCTTTCGCCACAACGATCCCAAGTAACTGGTCTTCCAGACCCTCTGGGGTGATCATGAAGTTTAACAGAGAGACTTTAGTTGCCAATTCAGGCAGATAATGTGGATTTCTCAGTTTAGTTGTGATGTAGAATCTGAAATCCTTTGAATATTCAATAACTGTTTCTCCAAGTCGGATGCAGTCCACACCCCCTGCAAATGACAGAATCTAGATATAAATGATAACATGCATTATTCGGCAAACTTAGAGAAAGCAGAACATTGAGTGGACTGTGGATCAAAAAAGCAGATTGATGTCTACATTACACTCACTAATCACAATTTGGTTTAGATTTGGACATGGCAGGACACATCAGGAGTATAGACCACCAGGAAGTAGCTGATTTTTCTTTGAAATTATCCTCTTTGAAATCAGTAGCAGCTTAGAAACATGGAGCAGCTCTACCCTCTTGTCTCCAATCCCACTACTTGAACCTCAGTGCCTGGTAAGGCTTCCACTGGAGCCTTCACTGAGCAATAGGTAAAAAAACGGCACTCGCAAGGGGATCCGTCCATCCAGTACTTTATTTGTCAATTAACTAAGTTGTAGCCAACAACTACGACTAGGCCCAATTTGGGGGCTGAAACATGTAAGCATTTGTTTAATTGCTGCTGTTATGCCTTTTTATAAATAAAGTACTGGATGGACGAACCCCCCTTGCACGTGCCGTTTTTTACCTATTGCTCTTTGAAATCAGTCCTATAGCACAATGTCCTGTGTCCTGCGGTGAGCAACTACACTACAGTCTGTAAGTGCCATTTCCTTCAGCAACAAAGTCAGGCTTTACACTAGGGATGTCCCGATACCGATACTAGTACCGATACACCGGTCAGAGCCCATGGAGAGACGCAATAAGCAGCGCTGGAGAGACCCAATAGGCAGCCCTGGTGACATCTGGATGCGGCCCTGGTGAGATCTGAACGCAGCCTGGTGAGATCTGAACGCAGCCTAGGGAGATCTGAACGCAGCCTGGTGAGATCTGAACGCAGCCTGGTGAGACCTGAACGCAGCCTGGCGAGACCTGAACGCAGCCTGGCGAGACCTGAACGCAGCCTGGCGAGACCTGAACGCAGCCTGGCGAGACCTGAACGCAGCCTGGCGAGACCTGAACGCAGCCTGGTGACATCTGGACGCAGCCTGGTGACATCTGGACGCAGCCTGGTGACATCTGGACGCAGCCTGGTGACATCTGGACGCAGCCTGGTGACATCTGGACGCAGACTGGTGGGATCTGGACGCCGCCTGGTTACATCTAGATGCAGCCCTGGTGAGATCTGAATGCAGCCTGGTGGGATCCGGATGCAGCCTGGTGAGATCTGGACGCAGCCTGGTGAGATTTGGATGCACCCTGGTGAGATCTGGACGCAGCCTGGTGAGATTTGGATGCACCCTGGTGGGATGTGGACGCAGCTTGCTGGGCTCTGGATTACATATGTCACCAGGCTGCGTACCGATCTCACCAGGCTGCGTACCGATCTCACCAGGCTGCGTAGAGATCACACCAGCCTGCGTAAAGATTCTGTACGCAGCCTGGTGAGATCTGTACACAGCTTTAGTGAGATTTGTATGCAGCCTGGTGGGATCTGTAGCCCAGATGTCACCAGGCTGCGTCCAGATTCTGAACGCAGCCTGGTGAGATCTGTATTTAGCTCTGGTGAGATCTGTATGCAGCCCTGGTGAGATCTGTATGCAGCCCTGGTGAGATCTGTATGCAGCCCTGGTGAGATCTGGACGCAGCCTGGTGGGATCTGGACTACATATGTTCCCAGGGCTGCGTACAGACCTCACCAGGCTGCATACAGATTCTCTACGCAGCCTGGTGAGATCTGTATGCAGCTTTGGTGAGATTTGTATGCAGCCTGGTGGGATCTGGAGTCCAGATGTCACCAGGCTGTGTACAGATTCTGAACGCAGCCTGGTGACATCTGCATGCAGCCCTGGGAGAAACTACCCTAAAAGTATTAGTCTGTATTGTTTTAGAAAAAATGTCACATGTCCCTTTAAGAAAAAGTATTGGTAATTGGTATCGGCAAGTACCTGAGGGGAAAAACTTGTACTTGGTCTTGAAAAAGTGGTATCGGGACATCCCTACTTTACACATTTAGTGGAGTTAGATTAATAAAAGCTGATCTATGGTTGGCTGCAAGTAGAGCACTTCATAGCAGTAAGATATAAGACTTTTACAGGTTTAATAATGCATTATTTGACTACAATATTTAAGCTGCATATACACCCACTCACTGAGCTGCCCAAATGTTCCTCTTGGCAACAATCAGGTTAGCAACAAATCTGGCCAACATGTGTTAATGACCAAATCTGTCAAATATGAGCAGTGCAGTAGGGTCTTGACTGCCCATATGGTGCTGGAGCCAAAAAAAAGGTAACTTAAAAGCTGCATGCAAAAGCCAATAGAGCACAAAAAAATACCATCTTCTGGTTAGCAGTAGTTAGTCACATTTAACTGGATTTGCTCTGTAATACAGAAGATGTTTTGCGGTCATCAGTTTTCATGAGTTCCAGGAACATACCGCATTCATGCAAGCAGCCATAACTAACATAGGTGAATTAAATGAATTCTGAAGGTTAAAATATTTGGTGTGCTTTACCTTCATCTGTTCCCAACAGGAAGCATTAAATAAAACAAGAATATTAAACCACTGGACGTCTACATTATGGATAAGTGATAAGAATGCACCCAGATATTAAAGGCATACCCTGTTTAAAAGTCTGTTTCAGTAGTAATGGCTCCAGCGATGGGTCCAGTTCTTCCCCAACATTCTCCAGGAGAAGAGGAGTGCCAAACTGGATACAGTTCTCCAGAGTCCGCATGTAGTCTGAATCTGTTAATTTGATCACACTCAACTGGTTCTCCCTTTCTGAATTCTTAATCCATTTGTTAGCTTGGCTCTGGGGGTCAATCATCAAAGGCCTGAATGATAAAAAAAAAATTGAATGACATCTTTATGGAGAATAAATTCAATAACATTAAATTACTTTATTCTGGAAGCATTTGGTTTGCATTCAGGCTGTCTTATCTCCTGGTGGTTACATACCATCGCCTTGAATTGCTCACAATGACGCCATTGTCTATAGAGAAATTATCTGTTGGTAATCCAGCGATATTCCAGGCTCTGATTTTAATTGGGTCTCCAAGGATCTTACTCAAGGAAAAGTCTGCAGAGCAGGGGATCATTTTAGTCTGATAAAAGCAGAAAATATTTTAGAAATTTGAGAGAACTTCAAGGGCCAGTCCACCTAAAAATGTATACTTCATTATTGCGTGGGTATTGGTAAGCTTAGTCACAAAATGGCATGGCCGTATTATATCTTTACATACTTCAGTTGAAACATTACCCTACAAATGGGAGGAAGATGAGACTCCTTCACAATGGATGCGGCAGGTGGGTGGTTTGCCGCCCATTCTACCCAGGTCCGCCACGTCGCCGCCCAGAAAGGAAGGATACGACCCCATCGCTCCACACCATTACACCACGCTCTCCTTCTCACCTGCGTGTCAAAGCGAGTACTCACCCATTCACAGGTTAGTTCAATACCACACCCCCCCCGCCTTATCCCACCTCAGTCATTGCGCTAGGACGTGGCGCTTCGGTCTCTCCTTTTGTTTTTCATTTATAATAAGGGACCTTGTGCAATGCCTTTCAGCAATCAATAACATTTAAAGTAGTGGAAAATCAAAGTTGAATAATAGAAGTTTAAATCTTTTTGCGTGCTGAGGGGCATTAGAGGCAGTTCTTATGAAAGATACATTGTTAAATAAACAGATTTTTATAAAATGTCACCATTACATATAATATAATTAAAGCTGAACTCCAGGCGAACAGCAAAATACACAGATAAAATACATATAGGGGAGCTGTTTTACCTGCCAAATGTCCATCCAGCCCTAAATTTATACAGGTCTGCCACACAGCAAAGCTTGGGCAGGACAGGAGACCTGTTTTTTTCTGCTGTCGTTAAGTAGCATTTACAGGTCTTGTCCCACGACCCTCAGCCTGTGACTGGACAGAGGCAGCAGACTTATGAGCTCATCTCTCCGCCAATACTGCTCTCTTCACCTATCAGCATGCTCATTGTTAGCGCATGAGCAACACTGCCCAACTGATTAGCTGCTTGTGCTGCTTCTCTTTCTCCCAGTCTGCTGTAGAGGGACTGCCAGAGACTAATACTAGGTCAAGTTTAGGTGATGTATTAAAGGAGAACTATGGGGTTAAGGCTTTTCCCCAAAGTTCTCCTTAGGGTAACGGGAGGACACAAACTAGCGTCCTCCCATCACCCTAGGCTCAGTATACCTATACTGAGACGCCGCAGTATAACGCAAGCTTTTGCTCGCGGTATACTGAGACGCCGCAGCTGAAGCGGATCCCGACAATTGTGCTGGGATCCGCTCAGCTGCGTGCCTGACAGCTGGCTCTGCCTATCTAGAGGCAGAGAGCCGTGACAGGATCAAGAGGTGAGCGAACGCCGGTATGTGTTCGCTCACCTCCCGATCTACTGAGCCGACCTGTGACAGTCTCATTTTCACAGGTCGGCTAGAACTATGAGGTGAGTGAAAAGCACTCACCTTATAGTTCTCCTTTAATGCAGGGATGGGCAATCATGGCACTCCAGCCCATGAGGCATTGCAAGACTCTTACAGGCAAAGGCACGACTCCCAGAGCCACATGCTCTGGGAGTCATGCCTCCCAGAAATTGTAGTTTCAGCACAGCTAGAATGCCAAGGTTGCTTATCCCTGTATTCATGAATATAGAGCTAAATGAATGTGTGCCTATTATAGCTGCCTGAAGTTCAGCACTAAAAAATGATTAGCATATAAAGCTAACTGGCTAGTACCTAGTCACACAGGTCTATACAGATAACTCCTCACCTTGCACAGTTTGCTCCAGTCTTTAGTACATTCTTGCCGGAATCCAGCAGTGAAAGCTCCCAGGTAGGCAATGACACCAGCCGATACAAGGACATCCCCAGTCAGATTATCATAAACATTCTGCAGAGAGTCTGCAGCATTGGACCATCTGGAAATGATCAAATATGAGTGGAAAGGTATGAAGTTAAACTTTATGTTCCCCATTAGAGAACTGGTAAAGCCAGAAAGCATTCCATGTACTCCTAAGTGAGCTGAATTGTAAATGTAAAGTGTAAATGTATAGTTTTTTTCCAAATATTATCTTTGCTATTCAAGAGTTTCAGATACCTGGTTTTCTGTTATGCTGTACACCCCTGAATAGTATCTCTGGTTACACACAAACAGTCAAATGACTCACAGGAGGGATACTCCTTCTTTAATCTCCTTCTGTATACATGGTGCTCTCTAGATCTGTAGTTTGCAGAAACAGTTAACAAGTGCAGAGCTAGTGCTGGGCTTTCCTATTAGATGGCACTGCATGCTCAGAAAACACTGAAGCATGGGAAATCCCTGCATTAAATGTTTACTTGCATAATATTAACCACTTGCTGACCGGGGTGTTTACACCCCTTTCCTGTCCAGGCCATTTTTCAGTGTTCAGCGCTGCGGTACTTTGACTGACATTTATTCCGTCATGCAACGCTGTACTGAAATAAATTTTATACCATTTTTTGGGGACAGATAGAGCTTTCTTTTGGTGGTATATAATCATCACTGGGGTTTTTATTTTTTACTATATAATGAAAAAAGTACAAAAAAAAAAAAAAAACAGTTTTCCCTACGTTATGTTATAAAACAATTATTATTACCCAAATGTTTGGCAAAATATAAAAGACGGGGTCACGTCGGGTAAATAGACACCAAACATGTCAAGCTTTAAAATTGCGTGCGCCCGCGAACTCGCAAAAACTACCATACCCCAAATTGGCCATAGGCGACGCTTTAAAAGCTTTTACCGCCCATCAGTTTAGTGTTATCAGTGATTGATGGCTCTAAAATTATTGCTCTCACTGCGACGCTCACGGCCATATGCAACATGTGCGGCGTAATGGATGCAATCGTCGTTTTCGCACGTAGGTGCACTTGACGCATGTTTGCATGTGTATGTGGGTGCGGGGACTTAAATTATTTTTTTTTTTATTACCTTTATATGTGACTTTAAATTTTTTCATATTTTTTTATAAAACTAATTATTTTAAACCTTTTTTTTCACTTAGCTTTATTGCTATCACATAGGGGACTAACAAGCCCCCTTTGTGATAGCCAATTTTCAGTGTCAGGCCCTCTTTATGGAGACATCAAGGGTCTTTAAGACCCCTAATGTCACCTGGGGACCCCTAGAGAAGCTGATGAAGCAGAGACCGGCTTCACCAGCTTCTCTCCGGTTTCTGTACCGGAGAGTGACAGAGGAAGGCGGAAGTGATGTAATACACATCACTTCCTGCATTCCGAAGAGGAGGAGGAGATCAAACGGAGCTCGTGTACTGAGCTCCGTTTGATCTCCAGCCGCAGAGCTGCTGTGCTGGTCCCGGGCTCGCACCGGGCACAGCAGAGCTCGGGATCGCCAATGGCTGCAACGGAGGGGGGGGGGCCCACACGCATATTACAAGCGATCGGGCGTCTCTACAGACGCCCGAACGCTTGTATGTAAACAGCCATCGCTGGCTGTTTACATTCTAGGCTGATTTCCTGCTCGGCGGGCACGAGCGGGGCGGGATGGGACGTTTAGAAACGCCCACCCGCATTGAAGAAGCCACTGTCACATTACAACGGCCGGACAGCAGGTGGTTAATATTGTACAAATATTAAAATAATGGTAATGAATAGTTTATTAAAGAGGCTCTGTCATTACAATAAATACATAAAATAAAGTTCACCCTAAAAAGAAGATAGTTAATACTCATTTCTCCCACTGCCCATACCATCGATACCACCGTTGTGAACAGGAACCGCCAAAAGTATCTTCAGGACCAATACTTTCTGGAGTGTTGGATACCTAGTCTTTCACTGTGTTGTTTTGTTCCTCCCACCGGCCCTCACTTCACTAAAGGACACAGTAGTAACGTGGGGGCTCTAGGATGGAATCACTGGAGACAGCATTCATCACTCTTGCAGATGATTTCTCTTAGTGCATTACAGCAGAGACTTGTGGCCCATGCAGCGGGAGAGGTGAGTATTAATCTGCGTGAAGGACCTTATTTTTTAGTATTTATTTTATATTTATTTTAGTAACAAAGTCACTTTAATCTCTAAACTTTCAAAAAATGCCACCAAAACACTAACATTTCCCCGTCCAATAAATGAAGCAGAGATTGGGGTGCCGTGGGTTTTGGCTCTTACAGGTTCAAGCTTATTCATTTTCAGCATGGACATCATTATGTGCTCTAAGTCCTTACAGCTACTGCAGAAAATAGTTTGACATGGGGTAACAGCTCAGGCTTTGTTCAGCCATTGATAGTACTTGCAGTCCCCCCACAAGGTATATGTATGTATGTATGTATGTATGTATGTATGTATGTATGTATGTATGTAGGCTTAATCAATAATCATCTTTTTCTCCTTCACTGTGTAGATGAGATCTTGGAACTTGTGTTCCGAGCTGAGTACACCTGCTATGGCCTTTACAATAGGACAGGAAGGGTGTTACAGATAGGATTACCAGGTGAAAATAAAAGAAAACAAGCCTGAAAAGAAAAGCAACGCAGTCACTGCATCCAAGGACTGGTAGTCAGCAATATATTAATGGCTTGTTCTTGGCTTTAGATACACACTTTAAGATCAGGTTACTAGATAACGCAGCAAGGGAAATGTTGGAGGCAAAAGAACAAAGAAGTCTATTGTACAGATCTGAAAAGATGGCATAAGCTTGTAGGTAATACAAGCCACTACCCATAAATTAAACATTTTCTTTAGGTGAACTGACCCCGTAAAGACATTCAGAGGTGGAATGGATTTTAGAAAACCTATAGCTCTTGAGAAACAATTGCTAATATGATAAAGACCATGTGACATTTTAAAGTAAACCTTGCCTAAGAGAAAATATAGTGAGGAGCCATTGCTTGTCTCCATCTGAAAATACCAGTTGCCCCGCTGTTATGCTGAACATTTGGTTCCAGTGACAATGACCCATACGAAATATGCAGATGAAGATTAAGTCATAGTAAAGTAACATTTGCAGAATGCAAAGTAAGCAGGTGCAGCTTCTATGTTTAATTCAGAAAGATTATGAATATTAATCTCCAACCTCACCTGTGTTTCTCTCCACCAAGTCCCCCTATTAACTTCTCTGCACGTACTAGCTTTTTAGCACATAAATCCACTTGGAATTCCAGCTGGGCTTTCTCCTCTGTTTTCTCCCGAAACGTGGCTTTCAGGGCGGCTAAGCTATCCTCTACCTCTTTTAGCTCTGCCCTCTTCTGGTTCAGCACTGTCATAGTCTCTGCCAGAGACTGCTCAGCCTCCAGCAACCGAGCTTTCTTGGGAGCTACCACCTGAGAAATCAAACAGGATAAGTACACCAAGTATTACACATTGTAGATCATTTTCACCCACTGGGAGGATATCAAGATTCGGTAAAGAGCTGGAAGGTGATTGAAAATGCTCACATCCTCCCAATATGTCGGGTGGTTGTAGACTCTATTTAAATTAATACTTTTATATATTTAAATAAATCTCACTGGTCTCTAGTGAATGGGTACGTAGCATCACTTTCTGTTCTATTTTTAGGAACAAGTAGGGGTGTTTCACATTGTGTGATCACTTGCATTTCTATTTTTAATTCAAATACTATAAGGATTGGTTTTCATCTGAACTAAGCCCCGCTTTAATTGGCTCACTGTGTTTTTAAATACTTATTGTACTACCCCCCCATGTTCACTGTCTGTTAGTCACTTCCACTCTATATTGGGTCTTTGTCCTTCTCCTTCAGCTGGCACCTTCTTGTGCTGTCCATGCTCCTCTTATTGGCTTCTCTCAGTTTTCACCTGTATTGTTCCTTGTGTTTGTTTCCTGTGCATCTCCTGTCACCAAGGAGGCCACCTGTTGTCTGCAAGCAGGTAATCCTTGATGCAAAATTGCCATCAATACTATTGGCTTTGGTGAAGGCCAAGAGCACCTCTGTCTTCTGCCAAGAGTGAGACTTTTGTCATCCAGACTGCTGTCTTGTCTTTTATTTATTAGGCCATTCTATTTTCTATGCTCCTAGCTAATATCTGTACCAAGTCAGTCTGCTCTTCAACGGAACTTCTGGCTTTCGACTCTCAACTTTCTTTTCAGGCACTGATACCAGCTTACAACTATGTATCTATCAGCTGTGTTCCATGAACCAGTGCTAGGGGTAGCCAAACCTCACTGACCCTATCTGCAGTCCCCTGATGGTCAGTACAGATAGAAAACACATCAGTGTACCATTACTATGCTAAAGTTGTGTCCATAGAATACCTTTGCAATTCTATCATAGACTTCCATGGCGAGAATCCACCTGCACAATCCTTCAGCTGCAGAGGAAGCTTTCACCACCTTAGCTGGATCAAAGTCAGAATTGGTGGCGAATTCACTACGGATCTTTTGCATCACTGATACCTGCACACACACAAATAATAAACTCATCTGGTTCTTTCCAGCAAAAAAAATAAAATGTGTAACTTATTGGCAGTAACTATCAAATAACTAATACAAGTTTAAAAATGAAAAAGCATCTCCACATTGCAAATATTGTTTTTATTTACTGTACCATTTCTGTGCTTTTTTTTTTTATATATATATAGATATAGATATATCTATATCTATATATATATATAGATATACAGATATAGATATATATCGATATATCTATATCTATATATATATACATACAGTATATATTCTTTGGATGTGGTGGGTGTGGTTCTGAATTTTACAGAAGATAGGTGGGAGGGCAGATAACACCATTTGAGGTTTTAGCTCAGTGCACATGAAGTTATAAGAATGCTAACAGGGCTATTCACAAAAGGGTGAAGAGTTTGGAGAAGGCAGGAGAAGTGAACAATCTAGGACAACATAGCTTATTTTGGAAACATTCTCCAATTCAGCTCACTTTCCAGTTCAGCCATGTTGTCCTAGATTGTTCACTTCTCCTGCCTTCTCCAAACTCTTCACCTTTTTATGAATAGCCATGTAAGTTTCTTCCAAGATCAACAAGAATTTTGCTGTAGATGCAAAAATAGTACTTAACTTAAAAAAACCGAACACAGTCATCACATCTAAATACTGGCAAGCTGCAATATATTACATTTTTATTCTTGGCTTGGGTTAAGATATACTTCAAGACTTAGGTAGAGTCAATGCAGTAGCTAATCTAGCCCACCTTTAATAGCTAATTTACTCATTTCAAATAGTACAAAATGAAGAGCAGGGCAATGGCACCCTAGAGAAACATAAAACGTTATTTTTCTTCCACTAACATATTATGGTAACTTATTTAAACTTACCGGAATGTTATCTTTGTCATATTCTCGCAGGTCTTTTAGAAAATTCATATCTCCCAGAAGCTTCTTACTGGGTCCCCAGTAATCAAAGACCTGCAAAGATCGCAGTATACAGGTATTAAGCTTTCTGGCCCTGTGTTTTTAGTATTTTCTAGGTGACATTGCAATTGAATTTCCCTCAGGGTCATCAGTCACACACATATTAAAAAATTCTACTAATATACAGTAAATGAATGCTGGCTGCAACATTCAACCGCTCTTACCTACAGAAAAAAATTACTTTATAGCAAATTAAAATCCCATTAAAGGATATAATAGAATTTACCTTCAATCTAGAGATTTCCTACACAGTATTTTTTTCTGCTACTAGATGTCCTTAGTCTGACGACTACCATCATTCAACCCACATACTCTGAACCCAGGTCATCCTAGAGCTACCCTAGCCTGAGACTTAACAGTGAAAGGAGAAGCAGCACAGTGATCAGCTCTTCTCCCTGTAAATCTGCTTTCGCATTCTGTCAGCGTGCTTCTTGCCAGCACATAAACTGATTGGCTTCTTATGCTGCTGCTTCCTCTCACACTCCAGCCCTGCTGTATTTAGACTGCAAGAGGCTGATACCAGGTCAACTTCCAGTACTTACAATGCTTGCAATAAAAAAAAATACATTTAGAGATGTATTAATGATTACAGAGCGAATATGTGCCTTTTATATCTGCCTAGAGTTGTCACGAAAAATCAGTTCCTTTAAGACCATAGCCTAGGATTGATTTTCCCTTTTAAGTTTTAAATTCAATATGGGAGAACAAAAATGAGAATTTAGGTGCTATAAACAACAAGTACAGCTCTTCCCTCAGACAATTTTCTTGATAGTACGATGTGCAAATGCATTGACGCAAACACAACAGACACATTTACCTTCTGCCCAGTCCCAGCAGGATCATTTATTTTCTCTGGCTTGATCTCTTTCATGACACAAATAGCTTCCATGACGAGTTTTACACCCGAAGGCGGATTCTTCATTGTTTTTACAATTGTGATATCTGATGGCTAAAATTATACATCTATGTCAAGTTCATCAGCAACTTTAAAAAGTAAGCAATGGCAGATCCAACATTTCAGTCCTCGCTGGATCCCTTTAAGGCCCCATTCACATCTGAGCGTTTTGTAGCTCAAATGCCTAAGTGCTACAACACTCAATAGGACGAATCCCATTGTTTTAAATGGCCCCTGTTCACATCTGAGCGTTCTGTCCATGTAACAAAACACCTGTATCTCAAAAAAGTACAATAGACTTCAGCAGAAGTGACGAAAAAAAAACATGTGAAAATGGCAGTAACACACATTTTAAAGCATTTGTTACCTAGTAACTAGCTCAAGCCTGAAATGAGCAAAAAAATGTCTTATCAAATGCTCAAAAAGCCCAACGTAAAAACGCCCTAAGGCCAGGTTCACACCTGTACTACACCCGGGACGCGCGTCCCGTGATCGTGCAGCCCTGTACAATGCAGGCAGCGATTGCCGTGCGGCCCCATCGATTTCAATGGGGTGACATCCGCGCGGCAATCGCAGAAAAAAAGTACAACTACCTTCTTTTTGCGATACAGGACGCGTGGCTGTTTTAGCCATGATCGTGTTCGGAAGCACAGGCGGGATCCGCCAGGCGCAACTGGGGTGCCATTAGAAAATAATGGCAACCACAGCACGCTCGGTTCATGACTTGGCGACTCCTGACCGTGCGGCAATCCACGCGGAATCGTGCACGATTGTGCGCGGTGAGGTGTCGCCTAGGTGGGAACCGAGTCTAACATAAACTTTGATGCACTAGATAACAAATGATTATAAGCAACTGTCAGCTTTGCAGTGTCCTGAAAACTAGTGCACGAGGCTATGGAAGCTCACTCCAAAGTTCAGAGTTGTCAGTTTTCAGATCTGACTGCCTGAATAGTAGGTTGCAAATGGCCTGGTTACATATTTCCTCACCAGACACAGCTTCAAGAATTCTACGCATCTTGCATCATTTAAAAAAATGGGAAATCTAAACAACCTACATAATATATTACAAAGCCATATATGCAGTCTCTGTCCTAAAGTCCCAAGCTTCCCATTATTGTAAACTCTTACCTTAAGAGTGTTAAGAGCAGACATGGCGGCCTCTAAGGCTGGTATGGCCTCTGCAAGGTCGCTCTCACACTCATTTTTCAAGGCCTGGGCTTCGCTGGCTTTCTGGGTGGCAGCTTCTTCATCTGTTCGAACTATTTTACTCTTTGCTTCCACCTGTGCTGACTCTTTTTCTATAACCTATACAGGTTAAAAAGTCCGGGTTAGCAGCTTTAAGAAGACATGAAACATCGTAACTTATTCCGAATCCTCCAAGATTAAAACCCTTAACTCCTATGCTGAAAGCCTCTGCTTTAAGTGCATATAGGTCCAGCATCAAAATCTAACTCTCCAGTGCCATAAGAAACTGCTTTGATACATAGTGAATTCCACACACGTCTTATAACATTGGTTTATTCCCTTTCTCTTTTCATTGCAATACTTCCCAATTGTCCATTTGAAGGGACTGTCTCTCACTTGGAACCAAATCCCTCTGTCCCTCTTTCTTTCTCAGTTGTCCCTCTTTTTTGGTCTGAAGTACAGATATCTATGAAAAGATTCTATTTATCTACCAAATATGTTTTTCTCAATAAAATACTTAAAGTGACAATAAACCCTCAGATTTTTTAACATAAAACAATACTGTAATTTGCGCCTTACTGTAATCCATGGTAGTTTCCCTTCTCTTTGCTGCTCTTCCTTTTAAATCTGTATCTGTTCTCATGCTGGGCAGAACTTCTGTTTTGCAGCAGACTGCCTTGTCTCAGGAATGGATACACGGTGTCTGTGTATAGGTTTGTATAGGCTTGTAACCTGAGCCAGCACTACAGGAAGAGGCCCTGAGCTGAAAAGGGAAGTTCTCCCCAAGCATGAGAAGACATGAGGATTTAAAAGGAAGAGCAGCAAAGAGAAGGGAAACTACCATGGATTACAGTAAGGAACACATTACTGTACTGTTTTATGTTAAAAAATCTGAGGGTTTAATGTCACTTTAATCCTTTCTTGTAATTATCTTTCTTATCATTGCAAAAAGTCAGTATAAAAGGAAAGTAATGGTGAAAAAAACATTTTGGTTCAACTAATCATTTTTGGCATATAAATTCTTAATGGTCTGCATAACTGGGCAGTGACAGTGGTATGTCCATTCCCTAAATACATTATGCTGGAAGGTGTCCTACTTTCTCGTCTCAGAAAGTTGGAAAGTATGCATTGCAGTTGTTAGATATGTATTAACCTTCATCATTTCAGCGTTTTCTATTTTGGCTTCTTCCAGTTTGGGCTGTAATTCCACCAGTTCCTTCTTCATATCTCCAACCTAAATAAAGTACACATATTAATAATCCACAATAATATTCAATTAATGTTACTATTGAGGGTAAGCTTATAAGTAAGGCACTTGGATCAAGCTGTGACATATAATATAAAATAAGAAGATGCAGCTGGGCAGCAACTATATGTCTATGAATCAGTAGCCTCCAGCATCACTATAATTGTTGCTTCCTACAACTGACCTTTACAAGAATCATTATTACCCATATGCACGGACTTCCTATTTCAAATGAGAGAGCCATAGAGATACTTTGTGAATTGCTCTCTGTTAGATGTGGGCAGACCAAAGGGGTGATGCGTTAGTATTTTAAGTATTTCATATGATATGTACATTTATGAAGAGGCTGCTATTTGCTATGCAATTTGTATATTACATACATTTACATGGCTAGATTCATGGTAAAGTAGCACAAACAAACCAACAGGCAGTAAGCTTATACTTCAGACCACTGTTGGGGGGGGGGGGCCTTCATGGTTTCTTGCACCGGGGCCCTGAAGGTTCTAGTTACGCCACTGCTTCAGACTCACTAACATGCTGCTAGAATAGTATATTGCACATTATTTCATTCTCACCTGGGATTCAGCAAAGGCCAATTTATCTAAACCATTAGTGTATCTCTTTTTTGCCTTCATCACTGTGTCCCGATTATGGGAGAGCAGCTGACGGAAAGCAGCGATCAACTCCAGGTAGGAGGTGGGAGTCACATAATTATGTCTCCCCAGTTCTCTCAAAAACCTGTGAATGGAAGAAGATATTTCAACTACAATTAGCAATAAAAGAAAACAGTTATGATATTAAATTACCATAATTTTCAAAGGGGATTTCCAGATTAAAATAAAATACCACACCCTCTTCTAAACTTTTATTGTAGTAGCCTGGAAAGATGTCTTCCTATCATAGTGTTTTTTGTTATTTACAGTTTACATTTAATTAACTATATCTCTGTACATACTATAAATATAACATGGCCATAGATGATTATGTCTGAATGGATGAGCTGCACTATATCAGGCTTCCCCGACAGAGTGCATTGTTGGGGAAGTCTGGAGTAACAGCTCTAAGTCTCTTCAGAGTATGTCCCTGACCCCCCTCAAGGAGTTGGTCCCTGTGCTGAGAGAAGTATAAGGTCTGCCATTGCTGACCTCCTAAGAATACAAGTCACTGACCCAGAACCAGCATGCAGATTAGAATATCAGATTGAAGTCAGGATTTCTGATCTGCCTACTCGTTCCAGGTCAGGGACTTAAAGTCTTTATTGGATCTGCATGACAGCCAGACAACTCACATTTTCAGAAGAAACGGTTATCGATAGTAGCTTTCACATTCTCTCACTAAAGTAACAAAACGAAGGGCCGATATAATTCGATGATCAAACATTTTTGCAATATTATTTTATAAAAATTAAAAAAATGTTGATAAAGGTCTTTGTACCCGCTTAGAATTTGGCAAAATATTAAAAACGTAAATGATTACTTCTCTGATAGTACTATGGCTGATGTGTGGAAGTATTTACAGATTGGAACCACTTCCTGGCGCACCATACTGGTCATTTCCAACGTCTCCAAAAACTTGACAGCCACCCGCTCAAGGGCATCCTCTGGCCATGGCTAGGATACAAGAGATTGAGTTAAGGACGATCACTGGATTTCTCACTCCAGTTTCAGTCTGAATATAAAATGTTTTCTCTCCATAATGAAAAGTTTAGTGAATGAATAAACAAGGGATTAGACAACAAGGCTACAATGTCAAAAAAGGAGCTGTTGATAAGTGCTCATCAGAAGAGCTTATCAGAAGAGCACAAAGACTGAAAAAACAAAAAGGGTGAACATAAGAAGAACCAGATAAGGTTACACTTTGTACCAACATTGGGGAGTGTTACAGACTTAGATTTCTAACATTAATTTCATTGTTCATCAAATTTTCTATTGAGGATAGACTCAAAACATTATAGTATCAAGCAAGGGACTTGATGAAGATGGATATTGCCATGAAACTGGATTTTATAAGGTAGAGAGATACAGGTATATCAGTTGAGCCAGGTTTCCCCCTTGGTGTGATGGTTTAAAGGGCATATGCCATGTATCAAAAATGAGTTTATTCATAAATGAACAAGGTAATTAAATGACATAGTTAAAACAACAAGAAGTAGCGTGCAAATGACAGTACCAGACTAAAAAAAAAAAAAGCCTGCAGAAATCCACAGAAACCAGTTACATGGCACCTGAGTGGCCAAAGTTCATGGACTGCCACGTGAGGCAGTGGAAATTTACATAGGGATTTTTAGCAAGGGTTCTGACAGCCAAGCATAATAGAGGGGACAGGGAATCTAAGCTTAAGTAGCATAGGAAGTACACTATAAAAAGAACCTGAATAGGAAAATTGTTGGGTTTACTTGTTGGAAAGGGAAGATGGTCAGTAGGCTTTTTTTTAATGAACTTAATGTAAGGGCTAATTATATCTAAACCGTCCCCTTATCAACATTTCAGTGCAGTATCACAGAAAAAATAACATTGGGTGAAAGTATTAATTGTTCTGTGGGTCCATCTTTTGGCTCTAAATGTCATGAGATGCATAAAAATTGAAACCTGCAGCACTCCTGTATGGCTCCCCTTTGTACTTTGCATGCAACTGTAGAAATATCTGAGTCATATAAAAATAAATAAAACCTGGCATCCCTTGTTACTTACAGACATGAAACTGCCTTTCAGTTACTAGATATAACAATATATACATATATGCATATAACAAGTATATGATCTGCAGTACTAATAAGAAAATACCATTTACTAGCGATCCTGGGACTGTAAGAACTTTCAGAGCTCCGTTCCTTCATCTTCAGTGTGAAGCAATGCCAACAGCTAATTGTGGTGGTTGCTGGGTATGTCAGGGGAGCTCATTTACACATTAAAGGCTTTAGGGAAGCTAATCATGTGGAAAAAATTTTTACTACAATATATTTGCATATACGGTATTTACTCTGTGGCCATGTTAATGCATATTACATTTCTCGGATGATTCTAGAGCTCTTTTTTAACCTTTTCAAACTATGTCATAGGCTTTCGGTGTAGGTAAAGAGTGTAGATTGAGCCCAAGCATGCAAAATACACAGATAGAAAGATAGACATATGAACATAGATAGAAAAAAAGATAGATGATAGATTGATAGATAGATAGATAGATAGATAGATAGATACAAATCCACCCCAGTAGGAATCCCTTTCGCATTATCATAACACAACATGCATAACGATACAGTCTCAGTACCTACCTGGAACCAGTCAATAGTGCAGCAGTTGATAAGAGAAGGAAATTGCCGCAGGCGATTGCGAAATGCATCTCCAATGGGGCTGAAGGCAACTACAATGTGGAGATTTTCCTTGCAGCGGTTCACAAAGAAAGCGAATAAAGCCAGAGGACTGAGCTCAACATTTTTATTCCCTGCTTGTGCTGCTGGGCGAACTCCCTGTCATAAAGCATGAATCAAAATAGCAATATGAACAATATATTCTAAATATATTGAGTATACAGACAACAAATGGTTTGTTCCATCAAAAGTGAAAATTATTATCAGGGTCAAACACAGGACTTTAGCAAGTGGGATTTCACATCCGTGCATTGCAGCTTAGTGCATTTTTAAAATATAGGGCATGCTACATTTTTTGAGGTTATATGTTTAACATATATTGCAAGGCTATAGTCCGGTCATGCTCACTGGTGAAATTTTTGACTGACTGGTGAGACACCGCCAAATTTTTCAAGCCCTGTGCATTAAGCAGGCCAACTAAAATTAATGGGGGAAAAAACATAAAAAGACAAGTATAATGCAGTGTTTGTGCACTTCTTATACATTAGCACCATGGAGAAATGGTATTTTGAAAGTTTCTTGTTGACTTTACATAAAAAACACATATAAGCACCAGGGCCAGATTTGTACTCCCTGCTCCCCTAGGCCAATTGTGTCATCCCCCCACTCAACCAACTAGCCCACTCAACCAACTACCCCACTCAACCAACTAGCCTTAGTATCACACTAACAAGAAGAGATATCTTACACTCAAGACACTGAGAGGAAATTTATCAAAACTGGAGCAGACAAAATCTGAAGCAGTTGCCCGAGGCAACCAATCAGCATCTCTCTTTCATTTTAAAAACTCACCTGAACAAACTAGTGTAGAGAGGAGAGAAGCTAGTGAGGGACGGCTAAAAGGGACAGTTTGTCCACATTGTGTGAACCCACCTGGAGCTAACCAACAGAAGGGTAAGGAAAACTGTAACCCTGTTCTATCAGAACTTTCGCCATAGATGTATCAACCTAGAATGGTTAAAATACGTAGACAAAATAATTGTCCACTAACAAAGATCCACGTCTGTACAGAGACAATAATGAGGACCAAGCTACAATGCATTAGATGGCAGGGTAGCAGTCTGGACCTCCTTATACACAGGGATGTGTTATTGACAGTTCATAATATGATGGGTTGGTTGCTGTGTGCCGGCCCCTGCAGTGCTGCCACTCTAGGCAATGGCTATGGTGTGTCATTGTATTTTTTAAGTGTGAAAGGTGCTGATTACTAAAACCATAATAGACCCAACAATCTCCTCCCCATCCCCTTGGCACTACATTTTCTTTGTTTCACCTCCATAATTTCCTGCTTTTCATCTGCAGCAAAAAGGTTAGGAACCTCCCCAGTGTTGAGCAGACTGTCCACATCTTCCAGAAAGGCCTCTGTTTTAATCTGTGTGTCTGTAATAAGAAACACGGTCTTCTGTCCTTTCACGCCTACATTCCTCAGCAGACCCTGGAATGAGGGAACAGAATGAAAGTCAAAGGATACAGTTGGCATTTAATGATTTTGTCTCGAGGTTTATGTTTTTTAACAACCCCTTTTCATCTGTTCTTTCCTATTTGTAAACATAAGGCCTTACAAAACTCCCCAGATTAGAATCCTAAAAATTTTAGAACAACCAATGCAAATGATGACAATGATGTATATAACAAGGGACGTGGAAAGGTTTTGTAACAAAATGATAATTTCTCAAGCTTTTTATTTCATATAGAACCTAATTCGGGGTTCCCTTTTAATATAACAGATGTAACGAAGAACTTCAGTGTCCACAAAAACATATATAAGCACTTAATATCTTTATCCCAGTTTCTTTTTTTATAAATTCTTTATTTTTTCAATTTTTTAAAGCTTACACCGTACATAAAAGGAAAGTGCAGGAAAAGGAAAAGGGTATACATATACAATCTTGCAAGTATAGACCAACACGGACATTTCAAACTGTCAAATAAAAAACAAACAACTAATTGTTTAGCCATACTGGCACCTGAGGTTAGAGAAGAAAAGGGGAGGCAGCTTTCTGGTTCGTGTGGTAGAACTGAAAATGGGTAGTCAGGTGTTTATGCCGGCTGCGCTGTCATTTAAGGCGTCTGATGTAATTGACTGGCCCGTGTCTTATTGGTAAGTGCTCTCTTTATCAATTGCAAAGAGGAATTAAAGAAAAAATGAAAGGACAGCCGACGTAGCACCCCGCTGATTGTATGCGGGCATTAATATAGTGGAGAGCACACATGTATACATAGTACCCACTTATATGTTGGGTTATTAAATAAATATCGGGGATGGTTGGGTGAGGAAGAGACCAAGTGGTTTATTAATGATTATCAATAATACCCCAGGTCTGTGTAGGAGAGTGAGGGAGGGAGTCAGGAGAAAGAATTTTTGGCCCATGTGGCTAAATGTGATTTTATATGTGAGAGTAATGGGGGAAAATATCCCAGTTTCTAACCACAGGAGGACTATTGATATTCGGATGAGCTAAACATCTTTAAGCCCAAACCCAGGGGGATTTTTAAAGAAAATGGTCCCCCGCCATGACATCCAGCGTCATTCAACCTAGAAGACTGAGGACATACTGTGAGTGCATGGAGCCACCCCCTGTGGGTAATGCAATGTAATCAGTGTAATAATGTAGAGAATGGCATTGGTATAATCTATCATCAGTGCTCTCTGCATTACAGAGAACCAGTCACTGCTGGAGAAAAAGGAAAAGGACCCTGCACATCATGTGTGCAGCCTGAAGACCCCTGGAAAAGGTTAATATATAAATAAAAGTATAAAACCTCTGGTAAAGTGGGAATATGCCGCCGGGGAGGGAGCCCACAGTTTGGTTTTAACACAACACATTAAATATTTTGATGTCTATGCCAACGGTGCTCTGAGATCATAGACAGAAATTCTTGTTTTTTCCCTGACTTTACCATTGCAGCACAATGACTGACATATGAAGCACAGGAAGGACACGTCCTATTGGTTCATAGCAACAGAGGTTTTTTTCCACATGTGCAAAACTTTTACAATCATGGAAACTTTATAAACAGTGGGGTTTTTGTTTTACATCTTCCATGTGCAATAGGTTTGGGTTCGTACAGCATTTAGGCCCAATCTACCACTGGATTACCATAAACAATACAATTATTAATATTATATCACACTGCAAAACTTATAAAGTGAAGTGAGGAACAGTTATGCCAGTGCATGTACCTTCAGATCTTCCCTCCATTCATTCATGCCATAGCTTTTGGAGATCTCAGGCTGGAAAATGCTCATCTTTGCCATAGATGTGGCCAAACGAGTCAGCGATTGCCGTCCACTGCCTCCGACTCCAACCAGCAAGGCATTGCCACCTGGCTGCTTCAATATGCGGCAAATACGGGATAAGTGTTTAAGTACATATCTGTTACAGAAATATATAGGACAATTGTATTTTGTTCATTGATAGCAATTCATATAACACGGTACACCATGCTGTACATATAGAAAGATGATGTCCATTGCTTGACTATAATATTTCCATATGTTATGGGGAGTGGTGCCATTACTGCACTACAATACATCCCTTTGCCATTTCTATCGGTCAACAAACATGCTCCCCAGTCTGGAGGCTTTAATCAATCCAGTCAAAATATGAGGCGGCTTAGAGATCATGTACATTGTGCATCAGTCCCAGAAGCAAACCATAAGTAGCATGTTTTTATGTTGCTTTGGCTTGATTTTGAGCTACTCTGATTTACTTCTGAGATGCTTTGCATTGCCTTGTTTAGGAAAGGAAAGTAGTTTAGACAAATGCCCATGTAGACAAGCCTCAAAGGTAACCTTATTAATAAAACAACAGTCACCCAATCTGGATGTTTTCAGTCGGTGTGTGTGTAGCCAATTACAACAGAACTGTTATGACTGCTTTTAAGCTTTGGAACTGGTTAGTGTCATATAGAGATTTTGTGACATTGATGAAATTGTGTCACTAAGCATATTTCACTATGCATGCACCACATATTTGTCTGTTGCCCATGTTGGGGAGCATATTAAGGCAGGTCCATATGGAACACAATTTAAGTCACTCTAAACCTACACAGCATTATGATGCCCACGCACTTCTTCAGATCTCAGAAGATGCCCCTGGCCAAATTCTTACAGCTAATTGCTATTGCTCCATTATGATGAGGCTGGTTTCTGGGGTGTGATGAGAGATTAGATGAGAAGGCACACCTGAATATAACCAGGTTCATGCGGGTCTTGTGAGTTTGGTTGTATTCGTCCAGACATCTCTCCACTATATCATTAAACTGCTGCACACTTGGTATCTCCGAATACAGGCGTTCATCTCCTTCCAGATCAGGGTTCAAGTAGTCACCAAACAGAAGATTCCTAATATCTTCCTCACAGACCTGCAACATTAAAATCATCTGTTTTTAGAGTAACAATGATATATACAATTAAACAATTCTATACACCAGGGACCCATAGTAAATTTATTATAGTAACTAGGGATGTCCCGATTCCACTTTTTCAGGACCAAGTACAAGTACTTCCCCACATGTACTTGCCGATACCAATTACCGATACTTTTTCTTAAAGGGACAGGTGACTTTAAATGATCCATAGTACAACTGCATGTTATGTACTATGGATCATGATTTAACCTATTCATGTTAGCAAGGCAGAATTGTAACTCTATTGCTGGAGTGTAGTGGAGGTGTGTGCTGTATATATGTACTACATATACATTACACACGTCCAGTACACTATAGCAATAGATTTACAGCTAGCCCCGTCCCAGCTTCCCTCACTCACAGTTTCACTCTGATCCCTGTGCCTCACGAGGTGTCTCTTGTAGTCTCGGATCGCTGCATCGCGTCTCGGTGCTCAGCTTGTGGGAGGCGCTCACAATTCTGCCCTGCTAACATGAATAGGTTAAACCATAATATATATACAGCACACATGTCCTGTACACTGCAGTAATAGAGTTACAATTATCCCCTGCTAACATGAATAGGTTAAATCATTGGTAAAGTAAAAAAAAAACAAAAAACATAGCGCAAGCTTCGGCGCTTTGTATCTGGGCATTTTGACAAGTACAAGTACTTGTCAAAATGCCCTGTATCGGGCCCGATTCCGATGCTAGCATTGGTATCGGGACATCCCTAATAGTAACCATCAGCTCTCTATCTCATTCATGTTATCTGTTGCCAAGAAAACTTACAGGCTCATTCCCGTGTTTCAGATGCTCAAAGACAGATTCAAAATTTTCCTTGAAATGCTCTTTAACCACATCTTTTAACAGTTTGAAGAGCCAGGACTGGTCCTTGTCATCCACTAGGCGGTCATAAAAGACTCGCAGAACCTCATGGACGAAGAGGCGCACCATAACACGCTTGTTCTCCACAGCTTCTTTCTTGATAAGTAAGCACCCCTGTACCACCCGAGAGAAGTCCCGAAGATTAAATGTGTAATGGGATTTGGCTGGCGTAGGCAGCAGGTTCTCCATGGCTTTTTTGTACACCTAAGGTTAGCAAACACAGAAAAAAGTAAGTGAATAGTAAATAAATGAATACCACACTGGAACATAAAGCATTCATTTAATACATGTTACTTTTGATACTTAGTAATTCAGCAGAAAACAGGTCCAGTTATTTATCACACTAATATATAGCATGTTTGATGTTGTTAAATGTTTATATGTGAATTTATGTCATGAGCTATTTTTGGCTGGGGAGAGGCTAATGAGCAGCTGACTACAGTGTCCTCCAACCTATCAGTTCAATATATAGGACATCTACATTGCCTCCAAATAGAAAGGCCCTGAAATGTAAATGAACAGATCCTTGTTGTAAACCATTTAAAAGAGCCTAAGTTTTCAAATGTGTGTAGTAGAAAGGGTCTGCACTGTCCCATAGCTACCCTTAATATTCCTCGTTATCAGCTATTTCAGACTGGAGACATACTAAGAAGCAGAAATAAGCATTATAAATTAGCCTCATTCATCAAAAAACACATTGTACTCTATCTGAGAAACTTTTTTTTACCTCAACCAACATTTTCAATTACTTTATATGACAGCTCATTTCCTCATTGAGCAACACACAATACAAACTCTTATTGCAGATATTACAATGATGAGAGGGGGCACCAAAGTGGCTCATTGGTTAGCACTTATCCCTTGAAGCAGTGGGCTCCCCGATCCCAGCCAGAACTCTATCTACATGGAGTTTGCATCTTCTACCTTGCTTGTTGTTAGGCTGTTTGACTCTTGTCTAAATTGGCCCACAGTATGTATGTGTGGGTCTAAAAATCCAAATGGCAGACCCGGTAACACTTACTTCAGTTGCAAGTGCAGCTCTGGTACACATTTCAAGCATGGAGCCACAGAAAACAGCAAGGTTTGAAGTACAGCAAAGATCACAATGATTCAGGGTGCTTGGATGTGGTCAGGGAAGGATTGAAAACTTTGAGAACTTTGATCAGGGAGGAAAATACAACTAACTGACCTTTCTACTGCATAGACAGTTTTCTGTGGGCTAAAGAAAGTGCACCATGCAAAGTATGGGACCCCGGTGATTGTTGGCCAGGATGAAAGTCCTTTAACAATGGAACACAAAACATTTTAGTTTTGCATTCTACCAGCTTTGACTATTTGGCAGCTCAATATCCCAGAGCTGCAAGAGACGTAGATATTGGAAGACTTTGTTCTGTCAAACTGTGACCACAGGTCTAAACAGGGATTAGAAAGCAATATAAATATAGCAGGTATCATTGGCTGCAGATCCCTGCTCTAATTGGGGCCTGAATGGGGGGGTATCTCACTAAAGGCCACCAGCCCAATATATATTTTTTGTACTGCCCCCATCCCCGTCCTGACATCCCCTGTAATGATCATACAAGTGAATACAATGTGCAGTCTATTACAATGCTGGCATAACTAAAATGAGATGTGCAACAGAAAATTCTATAGAGTGAAGGTTAATATGGCTGTATGAGTCTTCACCACTGCCATGTAATGTGTTCCTATTTATAAACTTTATTTTATCTACCAATTAGCTGCCTTCTCTTACCTCCATTGTGCCATTCACAATTTGGTTCCCAACTGTAAAGAATTCAGGGGAAAATTCATTATTTTTCAGGTAGAATGCCACAACTGCTGAGAAGATTCGCACCATGGTCTCATCGCTAAAGGAGTTGATAGTGCAAATGTTGAAATGACGCAAGAATCGGGGTGTCACTGCATTTCTCCCACCACCAGGGGGTCCCATAGCTGCAATCAGCTGGACATCAACCAGAGTGATTTTGGAGGTGTCCTTCAAGTCATACCTAAGGGTGTAATCATAGTTTACATGAAAATTTGTATAAAGTACAAACAACCCTAATCACAACGGGAAATACTGTATAATATCTATTTCTAATTTTGTAGATACCAGTTTCCATGGTCGAAGAACTGTCTCAGAAGCTCGATAGGTGGCTGTGCACCATATTTTTCTAAGGCTGGCATATTCATGTCATCCACAAATATGACACATTTCTTTCCCACTGGAGGTCCATATACTCCTTTACGTCTTTTATCCAGCCGGTCCATGACAATATTCTGGAAGAAGGTTTGGCTTATTAGTATATTTTTTGAAGCTTAAAAAGTCTGCCATACTGAAAACTAACCAGTGAAAGGGAGTATAATGGTTTTATAAATATTATCTTTCTTTGATCATCATGATCAGGAATAAACAATAAAACATTTTCTTCTTTTCTTGTCAGGCAAGTTTGAAATATTGCTTATAATATAGTTTTGTACCTAGCATGCAAGAAAAGCTTTAGGGTTTTTTTTTCACCTTTATCTGTTGAAAAAAAATTCCTTTGTTTATAGGTTCAGTAGCTCGAACTGCAATTTACACACAGAGTTGAATGATTTAGACCAGTGATTGATCCCCGTGACTGATTCCATAGGGGACAGCTCAGACTGAAGTTATAGTAAGACAAATGGAAGCAGGGAAACTGGCACTGATTCATTTGTGTTGTGTCTTTAGCTAGCCCATAGTACTCTAGGAATTATTTGTCATGTAATACAGGTTTATTTTTAAAATAAATATTTTACGCATATATAGTATAAAAACAGATATAAAAGCTCAGCTAAAGACATATAACTGTAGAAACATAATGCAACTAAAATAAAATTGACCCCAAACTTTTTCTTTATAGCTGAGCTCCAATCTGACAGCCAAATACACTGTTGGAATACGCATAAGTCAGCTATTTTACTGACAAAATATTTCTGTTTCTTTCTACCTGGTCCTAAAACATACAAAGCCCTGTCAGACAACACAGCCAATATGGTGACCTGAGCTTTCTTTACTGCAGTTATGCAATACAGCTTGGTCACCTCCTCGCCCCATCCAGGAACTGGACAGAGAAGGAGCAGTACACAACTAATCAGATCATCTCTCTCCTTGTCAGTGTGTTCCTTTTTAGCATAGGTGCACATTAGCATGCCTGACTGGGTCATACTGCATGAAGCTGATACCTAGTCAAATTCATTTACTTATCCTAGTTTCATTTAAAAATGCATGCGTTTATTTTTAATGAATACAAAACTGCATTAATTGGTGTTATCTTTTAGCTGCCTGGAGTAAAATGTAACAATCAAACACAACATACTGATTACCCTTTCTGTATATATCTCAAAAGAACCTGTTAGCCTGGAACCAATTTGATGTTGTTACAATTACAAACAAATTGTACTGCCCTATACTGCACTGGTTTGAGCATGTAGCGCCCCAGGTCATCAATCAAGATGGCATTTCCTAAATCTCTAACACAAAATACCAGAAATACACACACACAGAAGGTCACTCTTTAGGGGTTGGGCGTTAGAAACTGCCATATTATGAAGCCATCAAGAAGAAAAACCTTAGGTTTATTCCAATTGCATATAATTATACCCGATTTCTTCCTGCTTCAAAAGTCAATACAACAGGGGACATGGTGACTGTGCAAGTAAAGCAAAGGATCCCATCCAAGTAATACGAACCTGTATTTGATTGGCACTGGTCCGAGCAGAAAAATTAATAAAGAATGGAAAGAATTGTTCTTTGTCCAGATTGTTCATTAACTTGTCCTTTACGTACACTGATTTACCCGTACCAGTTGGTCCTACAAACAGCAATGGCCTAAAGGAAAGGGAAAATAATTAGTTAAATAGCACAAAGATTGCTGGTTAAATAACAGTTTGTATTACAGTGGACCTGAACTCAATAACGTAAAGGGTTGGCTATACAGTATATTACAGGGAACATTTAAAATGTTAATTGTGCTTAACTGGTACCCTGAAAGATTTAAAATTTGTCCTACATTCCTCCTACAATAGCAGTGTAGTTCCTGTGGATACGCACTCTAGGCCTACAGACTTGTAGTTGCATATCTGCAGTATTAGATCATCTAAGGCACTGTTGCCTCTGACTGATAATCTCACAAGATTTGGAATGCGAGGTCAATGCTGTGTTGTTCACTATATTCCCTTGCTGGAGAGGAAGCTGTACCTGGGAACTTGCAGTGCAAGGATCTCCCTGCTTCTGTCCAGGCATTCTGTGTATCTGTGTTTCCTACACCTTTCCTACTGCTTCTTAATCATTATTCCAGTCATCAGATCACTAGTTATAAAAGATTATCTCTGCTATGAGGAAGCAATGCCCTGCCACTACAACCCCACACAGAGACAAAGTGCAGAATTAGCAACAGAGTAAAGTTCAACTGCAGGGAACCCAAAGGAATACTGGTGACTAGTTCTTTGCCTTCTGCTTGTCATTTTTTGGGCACAGCTTCCACAATACAGGTAATTTCTGTCCAGGGATTGTGCACACAGAAAAGCAGGGGACTTACTTAGAGTACTTGATAGACATGTCCATGAGGAAGGTATATCGGATAGTATCCATGGTTGGGACGATGATATCTTGGATTTTGGTGTTTGTGTCCCCCACACTTGTGCTTTTGATAAATTCATTCCAGTGAACCCAGCGACCCCTGCCTTTCAACTACAAAAAAAGGAGAGATTAAAAATGGTCCTGAAATGATGTAGCTGAAGAACAGAACACAGCATCCATCTGTACCCATACTTAAAGCCCAATTTCAAACAAAACTTGTTTTCATAGTTTTACATATAGCAGGGAAGTGTTAGAACTTCTTTTGTATAGCTATTGCTGTTTGTGTGCCAGTGACAGGAAGTGATGGGAAATTTCTTGAATGGGAACAAACACAGCAACAAAAACACTTTTTTAGTAGAATGGGAAAAGGTCAGAACATCTGTGAGGTTTTATTATGATCTGAGTCTTCCTGTCCCGGTTACCCCTAATTCATGCATTTTTTTTGTCCTAGTATCATGGGAATAAAAAAAGGAGGGGCATGGGGGATGTAATCTCCAAAATGAAAAAGACAGATTTTCTGAGAGAATTTATAATCCAAACTCATTCTATTCAAAGAAAAATTTTGATTTAGAGTTGGGTCAAATCCTGTCACAAATCATAGGATCCTTAAATGCAGAAGTATACAGAAGGGAATTTATCAAAACTGGAGAAGAGAAAGTAATCTGGAGCATCGCAACCAATTGGTGTCTGTCTTTCATTTTTAAATCTTAACTGAATAAACTGAAGAGAGAAGCTGATTGGTTGCCATGGGCAACTGCTCCAGATTCTGTCTGCTCCAGTTTTGATAACTTCCCCCCACAGTATAAGAAAATGAAGTTACAATCTCAATTATTTCGGTAAAAGTCAGACTTGGCCTAACTCCAAAGCCCCCCATTGACTTTTAATATGACCGGTAGCCATGCTGACCAATAGGAAAGCTCCGGAGGTGAGGGATAACAAGACCCAGTAATCATAAGCTTGATGAGAACTACACATTTGAGTGGCAGGTTTACTTTAAGGGCTTATGACTGTTGCTTTTTGATGCCTTTTTGATGGACATGTAATGGGGGTCATTTATCAAAACTGGAGCAGAGAGAATTTGGAGCAGTTGCCTGAAAGGACCTCTTATCTAGACGGCTGGGGGATTCTCCTTCGAAGCGCTTCGGGAACACAGAATGAACTACACTGAGGCAGATTCAATCATGTTCAATTTATTAGAAAAGTCTTGAGTCTTTATACTGTACAGAATGCTGAATCAACATTTAAACTTTGTACCATATAAGCACATACTGAAGACAGGCAGTGTTTTTGAGAAATAGATAAAAAGACACATTTTGGAGTCACTAAAGCCGACAGTCGGCTCTACAAGTTTAAACAGAGTCCCAGCGGCAAAAGTCACCGGGAGTCCGTTTAAACAGCCCCGATGCTGGCGACGTACACTGTACGTCGTCAGTCACGAAGGGGTTAACATATATTTCTAAAGAGGATCGGTATTATATTGAATTAAAAGGGGGCTTGTATTGTATTATCAAATGATACTTTCATTGCCCATAGTAACCAATCAGTTTCTCTTTTCAGTTTGTTCAGTTACGCTCTGAAAATGAAAGATAGAAGCTGATTGGTTGCCATGGACAATTGCTTCAGATTCTGTTTACTCTGGTTTCGATAAATTCCCCTCGTTGTGGATCCCATTTTAGGTGGCCTCTCCATGGGCTTTGCCCCTATATCTGCACTAAAGGCAGAGAGAAGTAAAGGATGTACTGAAATTTACAAGACGGATTAAGATTTCAATGCTCAGAGGTAACCTACTTGTGTAATATTTATTCCATGAGAGACTTACACAATTGCACCAGCACATTGGTATCACGTGGCAATCTGGCTTTGTGTAAAGGGAACCGTTAAATAAATCTTTAATGATGAATCAAGCAAACTAAACAATGAGGTAAAATAATGTAATGGATTAAAAGGAATATGTTCACAAAGCATTAAACGAGGGGATAAAATGAAGGATCAGCACCCAGACCTTCATTTAAAAAAAACATTATGCAAAGAGCAATTGTGCAGCGTAACAAGCAGGAACCAAATATCAAAGTTCCACATTGTTGGATGGTTAGGACAATAAAAGATGATTAGAACAATAAAAGATGATTTATGACTGATGTAGTTCTGACAGCAGTTAGCTTCCTATCAATCCTTTTTGGTTTCATAAATCATACTTTACCTCATACATGAAATCATATACCAGGCCTTTATCATCAAAAGGACATTCCCATTTCCCTATAGATGCTGGAATTGGATTCTGCCCATTTTTTCCTGTTGTAATCTCCTTGAGAAAAGCGTCAAACTTGTTCCGGCTGTCGGCATCACAGCAGCCCCCAATAGACCACACCATGGAGAAAGCAAAGCAAGCCTAGGAGAAGACAGATATCCATTGATTACTGAGACCATGGAAGGCAGAAGGAGCTGGAAGATGTAACAGCATTTCCACCTATAACATTGAAAGGGTCAGCCTGGTAAGTTGTGCAGGACAATAGAGGATGAGGGCAAATGACCCCATTCGTTCCTAGAGTTTTAAGGTTACAACCCAACTCCAGTGTTTTGTGGAGTGTGGAAGGGTTAGAACCTCTGCAAAATTTTAATTGCTGCTTTCATCTATTGGGGAGATTTTCCCACATTTCCACATTACCAAGGCAGGAAGTAAGAATAATCTCCCCATCAGGGGCACAGACAATAATAAAACTTTATTAAAGTAGAGTGGGGAATAGTGAGAACGTTTGCCATGTTTTTATCGCTTCCTCTATTGCAGAGGTCTCCTCACTTTCTGTGGTGTCACCAAGACAGGAAGTGAAATCTTTCCAGCAGGGACAGAGACAGCAAAAAAGCTTAAATATAATAAAATATATATAATATAAATATAATAAAAATAATAAAAATTAAAATAAAAACATGTGTGTGTGGGGGGGAGGTGCAGGGTACAGTTCCAGTGGTTGTTTATATAATGGGGGGGGGGCGGAAAAAAATTTCTGCCCCGGGCGCCCAGAACTCTGGTTACGCCACTGTCTTGCATTAAAGGTTTATTTGCAAAATCATTATTTTATATCCATAGTAAAGAATAAAGAGCTATACAAAATAGGAGTAAAATCTTATAAACTCAACAAATGTCAATTAAACTATCTATGAGCTATTATTGTTTACTTCAAGGGCTTTGCTATATGGAGTCTCTAACCATGCTACTAAATGATCAATCAGGTGTCAGCCTTAGTTCTCTGTTACTGATCAAAAGTATTGTAACAAGCAGAGGGCAGAATAATTGTTATTCAGTGAAAATCAGTGGCCTACGTGTTGATGATTGCTTACCATGATCCAAATACGAATGCTCTTATTGGTGGGTTCTTCCTTCACTGCATCAAAAATTAGCATCTCAAAGAGCCGGGTAAGTGATATCACCACATTGCTGTTGCTGGTTCCCACCAGTTCCTGCCCAGGGAAGTAAATAAAGTTTGAAATATTAGATTAACGGTATGGAAGGATATCAGTTGAAAACTTCAAGTGCATTTATATTGTGGAGTCCCACACCCCCAGCCCCCCTCAAGTCTTAAGCTAAGTATACACGGTACGTTCATAGAAAATTCTACTGTGTATATACCTAGCTTATTCTCACCTCTCCTCAATCCAGTGATATATCGCTGACTAGTTTGATGAGCCGCTTATCAAAATGTTACTCTTTTGGCCCCTGCAAATTCCTGTTCTTTTCTATGGAGCTTCTGAGTATAAATGAAGCTTCATAGGAATGAGCAGAACGATTTGACAGGCTTCTGTATGATGCAAACAGTGTTTAAAGGAGAACTATGGGGTTAAGGCTTTTCGCCATAGTTCTCCTTGGGGTAACGGGAGGACACAAACTAGCATCCTCCCGTCACACTAAGCTCAGTATACCGCGAGCTACTGCTCGCGGTATACTGAGACGCAGCAGCTGAAGCTGATCCAGACAATTATGCCTGGATCCGCCCAGCTGCGTGAGTGACAGCTGGCTCTGCCTATCTAGAGGCAGAGCCAGCTGTACCCGCCCCGTCCGATCCGCCAGTCAGCGCTGGCGGATCGGAGCGGGGAGGGGGGCAACCAGGCCACACTTTACCATGATCCAAATACGAATGCTCTTATTGGTGGGTTCTTCCTTCACTGCATCAAAAATTAGCATCTCAAAGAGCCGGGTAAGTGATATCACCACATTGCTGTTGCTGGTTCCCACCAGTTCCTGCCCAGGGAAGTAAATAAAGTTTGAAATATTAGATTAACGGTATGGAAGGATATCAGTTGAAAACTTCAAGTGCATTTATATTGTGGAGTCCCACACCCCCAGCCCCCCTCAAGTCTTAAGCTAAGTATACACGGTACGTTCATAGAAAATTCTACTGTGTATATACCTAGCTTATTCTCACCTCTCCTCAATCCAGTGATATATCGCTGACTAGTTTGATGAGCCGCTTATCAAAATGTTACTCTTTTGGCCCCTGCAAATTCCTGTTCTTTTCTATGGAGCTTCTGAGTATAAATGAAGCTTCATAGGAATGAGCAGAACGATTTGACAGGCTTCTGTATGATGCAAACAGTGTTTAAAGGAGAACTATGGGGTTAAGGCTTTTCGCCATAGTTCTCCTTGGGGTAACGGGAGGACACAAACTAGCATCCTCCCGTCACACTAAGCTCAGTATACCGCGAGCTACTGCTCGCGGTATACTGAGACGCAGCAGCTGAAGCTGATCCAGACAATTATGCCTGGATCCGCCCAGCTGCGTGAGTGACAGCTGGCTCTGCCTATCTAGAGGCAGAGCCAGCTGTACCCGCCCCGTCCGATCCGCCAGTCAGCGCTGGCGGATCGGAGCGGGGAGGGGGGAAACCAGCCCCACCCCTGTCACGGCAGAGAGCCGTGACAGGATCGAGAGGTGAGCGAAGGCCGGTATGTGTTCGCTTACCTCCCGATCTACTGAGCCGACCAGTGACAGTTTCATTGTCACAGGCCGGCTAGAACTATGAGGTGAGTTCTAGCCGACATTTGTGGAAGGGCAACATAAGCTGGTCATTATATTTTGGAGAAAATGGGCAAATTCTCTTGAGGCAAAAAATGACCATTTCCAGTACAATGTTATTTATGGTAAACCTAACTCCCCAGTCTCCCCCGCCCCAACCCCTATTTAACATTACATAGAAGCTAGATAGGATTTTTATACAAGTAAAGAGCAAGTAAAAAGATAAAAAGTAATTTATATTTTTAAAGTTATATTATGTGAATAGGAATATATAACAAATATAAAGTTTTTCAAATTTGGCTGCAAAAATGGAAATATTTCACAATCAGTAAAAAACTCCATACAACAGCAGAATTGCACCTTGCACTGTTTCCTAAGGAATCGTAAAGCTGGTCGTATAAGCCACTGGAACAGGTCATCTAAGAGAGCTAAATGTTCCTTTGTCTTCAAGGCCTCAGGGAGGGTGTTGAGCCATGACTTCACCAGGGGTTCCCAGCCTAGCTGTTGGGGTTCCAGGTAGATCATACCACAACGACTCACTGTGGCTGGCTGCAGATAGGAGAAAAGAAATTTATTTTAATCTTCATGGGTATCACGGAAGTAAATGATGACTCCCACAAGGCTATGACAAACTTACCGAAGCTTGGGAAAGATCCATTGCTTCAAAGATGAGACTCATCGGTGCTGACATCTGAATAATCTCACCACTCATTAAGCAAAGCTGTGGAAAATGACAACAATTTACACCAGCATATATACATATGTGTGTCCTTTATTTTGAATTATAACATAATTGGTTTTAGACACATATGGATATCCTAACAACATGCTATACTTATCAATGGTAATAATAGCCATTAAATTAATTGCACATTTTGGGAGGTCTATTACCGTGTTTCCCCGAAAGTAAGACCTAGCGCTATCTTCAGGGATTTCTGTAATATATGACCTACCCCGAAAATAAGACCAAGTTCAGTGGTAGGCCTTATATTACAGAAATCCCTGAAGATAGCGCTAGGTCTTATTTTCGTGGTTGCTGCACATATAATTGAATTTTACACTCAGACCCCTTGCTGGCTGCTTGGATGCAGCAATACATGTGCAAGGGGTCTGAGTGTAAAATTCAATTACACACTGAGTGGCCAGATTATTATGACCACCCCATTAGTACTTTGTTGCCACGAGATGACTCCACGAGATGACTTTGTTGGGCCGCCTCGTGACTCCACGAGATGTTGAAAGGTGATGCGAGGAATCTGACACTGCACTGTTGCCCTTCTGTTGTCGTGTACCAGTCTTGCCACTCTCCGTTCTGCCCTAACATTGACTAGTCGCTGACGGCCACAATTCGCACGTTCAGACCCAGATTTTCGGCTGACAGTCCAGTCTTTAAACACTTTAACAACAGCTGCTGTTTTGCTGATACTTGCTCCATGGCTCCGAGCGCCAACATCCCACGTTCAAAGGCTGTTAAATCGCGTTGTTTACCCGTATCTTCAGAAAACAATCACTTCTACTGTTGTGGTAAACAACCTGCTTCCCTATTTATAATGGTCTGGCCCTCTAGCAACTTCAGCGCGAAATTATAGCTAATTAGCCTACAAACGTCAGGCGGTCATAATAATCTGGCCACTCAGTGTATGTGCAGCTTGTCTTATAAAACTTGTCAAGACCGCAATAAGCTTACTGGCCGCAGCTCCCGCCTGCCCGCACACCCACCTGTCTGCCTCGGCTGCTGCTGAAAACTAAATTTCCCAGCAGGCATAGCGCGGCATGGCAAGTGGGGTCGAAGTGAGGTCAGCTGAGGTGAGGGAACTTCTGATTGGTGGCTCCTTGGACAGCATCAGAGCAGAGAGCTCCAGACAGCTGCAGCCAGGTACCGTACTGTGACACTATGTGACTTTCACTCCCCTTCTCCAGTACTGTATGAAAAAAAATAAGACATCCCCAGAAAATAAGACCTAGTGTGTTTTTTGGGGGAAAAAAAATATAAGACAGTGTCGGGGAAACACGGTATTAACTAATCCACAGAGCCATTTGACCTACAAATCTTTCTGAATATGCATTCTCGGCTCTATCTAGTGGCCAAAATGCAGTATTACATTACATACAATCAACCTAAAAAGAAAATGAATCCAAGAACATTTGTTTTTATGTCTATTTGCATTGAATGAAAGTTCACAAAGATTCGTAGGGTGAATGGCTCTACAAACTGGTTATGAAAAGACCCCTAACTGTTTCCTTTTCAATTAACAGCTTAAGGCATCAGTCCCATAGAGAAGGACGGGGGCTGCGTACTAAGCACACGCAGCACATGTCCTTCCCGGGAGCTGCTTGGTACAGTAATCACACGCAGCACCTGTCCTTCTCGGGAGCTGCTCGGTACAGCCTTGCATGCAACACAGAGCTGTACGTGCCGGCCTATTACAGTGTGAATGAGGGCTTACTCCACAGTAAGAGTAAACATCACCAAATGTATTGCAAAGCTCACAGTACATTATGCAGCTTCTTAGTGTGTTGGCAGCATGTTAGTTTTAAAGGAGAACTATGACATGAGTGATTTCCACTCACGTCATAGTTCTAAGCCGACCTGTGACAATGAGACTGTCACAGGTCAGCTCAGTAGATCGGGAGGTGAGGGAAAACATACCGGGTTCCCTCACCTCTCGATCCTGTCACGGCTCTCTGCCGTGACAGGGGGAGGGGCTGGATTCCCCTCTCCCCGCTCCGATCTGCCAGCGCTGACTGGCGGAACGGACGGGGGAGGGGGCGGGTACAGCTGGCTCTGCCTCTAGATAGGCAGAGCCAGCTGTCACTCATGCAGCTGGGCGGATCCCATCATCTAAGTCGGGATCCGCTCCAGGTGCGGCGTCTCAGAATACCGCGAGCTGTAGCTCGCGGTATACTGAGCTTAGGGTGACGGGAGGACGCTAGTTTGTGTCCTCCCATTACCCCAAGGAGAACTATGGGGAAAAACACTGACCCCATAGTTCTCCTTTAAGGCAAGAACATTAACTGCAGATAATCAGTCTACTTTCAGTTCTATTGCCTGTGAACCAGCTGACACTCAATGAAGCTGTTATTTGCATTTTGTATATCAGGATTTGAAACCCTATACCCTGGGAAGCCATGGAAAATCAATATTCCGACAAAGTATGAAGTGACAGGTCCTCTTTAATAGGATGTATTAATTGATAACAATAAAACCAACTCAGTTGACTTAGATTTAAATGTCTAAATTTCCTAATCCTAATGGCAAGAGAAGATAACAAATCAGAATAAAAGCTATTATTCGTCTCTTACTTTACCTTTTTATTATCGTCAAGAACGGTGTTCATACTTTCTATCCACAATGTATCGATAGGGCCATCAAACACTACCCATTTCCTTTCTGGGGTCTCAGATAATGCAAATTCACGAAATGTGTTAGCAACAATGCCATCAGTCCACTGTGAAAGAGAAATGGCCTTATATTAGCATGTGTGGACTTATAATAAATACATAATTTATGTCAAAGCCGTATTAAATATCTTTATACACTGTTAGGTCTTTTGTTCATATTTTCAGTAAATATCCTTGAGAACTCTGGCAATTTTTTTATTTTGGATACAGTGGGAAAGGCATACCATTTCTATTGGGTTGTTCTTACTCTCTATGTCCTGAATGGAAAGAATTCCTTTATTTTCCAGTCACCAGGACAAAAGAAGCAGAATTTTTCTAATGGAGACTCTGCGATATAAATCATTTTTTTTTGTAGAGTCGGAAGAGATTAGGCCTTTTTTCAGGTTTCTACTACTGTCTGTGATTCCAGAGGGAAGATCTTCCCTCTCATTTTCTGTGACACCAGAACAATAGAGGAGGGGAATGGGGTCACATGGACATGAAAGTACATACAACACCGACAGTTGCCCTTGGTGGAAGATTTACTCTTTATTTCTGTTTCAGGTACAACTCAAAATGTTAGATTTCCCCTCAGCTTCAGTAACAATGGTAATGGTTGATAGGACAAATAGAAATGGTAATTCTCCCTAACAAGAATACAGGCAGAAATGCAAAATGATGGACTGCTAAGATGTTTCTATTCTATCTTCACATCAGAAATCTCCTTTAAATTAGAGCCCCCCTTTACATCAGAGCCT